TTGACAGGCGACAGCCTCCGTGTGCCGACTATCAGCGCGTTGGCACACACTCATTCAGACGCATCAGGTGATTTCACATGAAGACGAGGCATGACTCAGTTCCCCAGCTCACTCTTCTCAACTCACTACCCACCACTCATTCCTTTCAACTCACTTCTTGACAGGCGATAGCCCCCGTGTGCCGACTATCAGCACGTTGGCACACACGCACATCACCTCCCTGCAGGTCGCCTCCCTGCAGGTCACCTCTCTCTCGCCCCATTCCTAGCATCAACATACTCACACCAGCACAGCACAACCCAGCACTCACTTCTTGACAGGTGACAACCCCCGTGTGCCCACGATAGCACGTCGGCACACACGCGCATCACCTCTCTGCAGATCACCTCGCGCTCGTGCCTAATCATTTACAATAACACACACGCCCACAGCACACCAGCACCACACTACAGCACTCACTTCTTGACTGGTGACAGCCCCCGTGTGCCAACTATCAGCACGTCTGCACACACGCGCATCACCTCCCTGCAGATCACCTCCCGCTCGTCCCCCACCGCTATCTTCCAATCACAGTCCAGCTGCGAGCAAAACAAGAGATAAGCGGAAAAGACGAGGGAATGGAAAGAAGGAAACGGGAAGCAACCGAGAAACACCACTGCCATGGTTTGTGAGAGTGGAGAATAAGGGAATATGCGCAATAAAAAAATAATAAACCATAGCAGTGATTTGAATCCGTTATAAGCGCACTCACATCCGCTACAGCGCATTTCTTCATGTACTTCTCCACTATGGCGCGAGCAGCTGCCTCTGCCTGTGCCTCCAACGTTGCTATGGCGTCTGCTGGAAGCTTGCCCACCATGTCTGGGGAGGAGGGAAGAGGAGAAGAGGGGAAAGGGGGGAGAGAAATTACGCCTACGACAATGAAACACCATGCCTGCCGGTGCCTCCAACGTTGCTATGGCGTCCGCTGGGAGCTTGCCCACCATGTCTGGGGAGGAGGGAAGAGGAGAAGAGGGGAAAGGGGGGAGAGAAATTACTCCTACGACAATGAAACACCATGCCTGCCGGTGCCTCCAACGTTGCTATGGCGTCCGCTGGGAGCTTGCCCACCATGTCTGGGGAGGAGGGAAGAGGAGAAGAGGGGAAAGGGGGGAGAGAAATTACGCCTACGACAATGAAACACAATGCCTGCCGGTGCCTCCAACGTTGCTATGGCGTCCGCTGGAAGCTTGCCCACCATGTCTGGGGAGGGAAAAGGAGGAGGGGGAAGGAAGGGTGCAATTGGAGGGAGAGAGGGATGATGAGCAACTCGCAGCTGCCTCTGCCTGCTGCTCTAACGTTGCTATGTCGTCCGCTGGAAGCTTGCCCACCATGTCTGGGGGAGAAAGGGGGAGGGAAGATTCGATTTCAGTAGCCACAATGTTACCTATTCCTGCTTATTTCGAAGGAAGAATAATCAAAACCAAACCAGAAGAACCCTCTCCCTTCCCCCTTTTGAAAAAATACAACAAACGGACAAAATAAAGAAGAAAATTTGAGTGGCAAAGGGTTTGGCTAGGGGGTTACAAGCGAATGATGTCCGGATGTGAATGAAGCGCTTGAGACTTTTGAAGAAATGAGTACCTTGCAAACTCAGAATTCACGTTGCTTACCGTCAAATGACTTGCGTAAATGGATGGGGCGCACGTGATCCTGAGACTTGTATTAGTTCCTTCCTTGAAGCCCACTTGTCTTTTGAGTCGACTCAGAAGTCGACAGCTTGCTTACCGTCAAATGATGTGCGCACGTGGATGAGTCGCGCCGCACACATGATCCTAAGCCTTGCAGTAGTTCCTTTTGAGAATCCAAAAAAGTGACTCCAATATAGAAGAAGTCAGCCTGCTCACCATCGAATGACTTGCGCACGTGGATGAGGCGCACGTGGTCCTGAGCCTTGCAGTAGTTCCTTAAAGCCCAGTTGAACGCCAGCTCTGAACCTGCGCGCATTAGAGGTAGCGGCGGCAGAGAGGGAAGGACATGAATTCCCTCTATTGAATTGAGCTCCTTACAGGGCTGTGCACGTGCAGTAGTTCCTCAACGCCCAGTTGGTTGCCAGCTCTGAACCTGCGAGTGAGGGAGAGTGGGAGGGAGGGAGGGAGGAAGGGAGGGAGGGAGGGAGGGAGGGAGGGAGGGAGGGAGGGAGGAAGGGAGGGAGGGAGGGAGGGAGGGAGGGAGGGAGGGAGGGAGGGAGGGAGGGAGGGAGGGAGGGAGGGAAATAAACAAAGAGGAGAGCAGGAGGGGAGGAGAGGGGGATCAGGAAAGGAAGGTGGGAGGAGTTGAACGAGAGGGGAGAAGAGCGTGCGTGTGCGTGTGCGTGTGCGTGCGCGTGTGCGTGTGCGTGTGCTTGTATGTGTGTGCGTGTGCGTGTGCGTGTGCTTGTATGTGTGTGCATGCACGCGTGCGTGTAACGTGCGTGCGTTTGTATGTGCGTGCGCGTCTGATAGAAAGCAGGAAAGCAACGATCGTGACGTACACTCGCTCCCGTCCACCGCTATAAGCACCTCCCGCTGTTCACTCGTTAGTAGCTGCTCCATCAAGTGCTTCCGTCAATCCCTGTTTCAACTCCTGCTTTAACTCCTCCTTCTGTTCTCCGGCTGTAGCACAACCCACAGCTACACTTCTGCGAACGCAATCGAGCTACAGCCGGTAGCCACAACCGTCAACTTCCTGTAAACTACAGAAACTGCCGCCTGCGACAGTAGAATCGACCAGTGGAAGATGACCACTCGACTGGCGGCACTGTTGCTACAGCCTGTAGAAGCGGGGCTATTGTTTCCGTCGCTACGGCCGCCGGTCGAGGCAGCTTCCAGGGTGCGAACTTTGTCTGACCCAGCTCAATCCGGAGTACAACTCGAAAACACCCTGAAAAGCAGGCCTAGAGAATGGAACTCATATTGGATGAAGAAGACCGAACCTCGCCAAATGTGACTTTTGCTCTAAGCTGGTTCACTCAGTCCGTGGCTGTCTATTCCGTCTTTGTATCAAATAGGAAACCCACGGCGAAAACTATGCACAAGTATCATACACGTATCATACACCTCATGTACGCCAAGCGTGGCGGTAATACGTGAGCAATAAGCCACTAATGTACTTGCGATGCACTCTAAGCGCCTGGGCGGTGTCGGTTTGGCTCCGGCGGAAGTAAAGTCACTAAGAGGGCTCTTGCTGCGTGTGTCCGTCGGATCGGACGACAAGCTCGAGGTTCAATGGAAATGGCCGACGGAAATGAGCTGCTAGTGTGATGTTTCTCCAGCCTTCCCAGCCATTCACAAAAAGAACGTGCACCGACACAACAAACCCCGTATTTGCACAGTGACTGACACTTAGAATAATTTCTCCTTTACTATAATAGCCAAGGCATGGTCCTTCATCAATTACACCCATCAACTAGCCTTTGAAACCATAAACATGATGCGACGGCAACCTCCATTTCAGTGTCACAATTCTCATCTGAGATTTCGCATGTTACCATTTTACTATGTATGCACCCTCCATTGTACATGTGATTAAATATGAAAATTAAAGAGCATGTTCAGTTCAAGTGCGATGTATACATTTTTTTAAGAGCATTTTGCATACACTTCATATCGTGGCAGATCTGCACCGCACTCTTTCTCCGTGGCATTCAAGGTGGTGGCGGCAAATCTTGTTTGCAGAATTTCGCACATGCGAAGCCTATGTCTGACACGGTAACCAAACATGAGACAGCTGCGTCATGAGCAAAACCCTAAACGTTCGGCCTTCGTCGGTTGATGTTTGCTTGGTTCAGGAGGATTGACCCGTGGGGCAATGGATGCGTCGCGGTTGAGCCGCGCCTGTTATTGGCTGCTTGCTTCCACCAAATCCTCTTCAGGGCGTATTCCTGCACTTCGGGTCATCAGCACTTCGGGTCTTCCGAGATTGTGGGATCCAATCGGAAAATCGAAATGCACCCCAATCTCTTGATTCCGAACTTCCGATTGGATCCCACAATTTCGGATGACCCGAAGTGCTGATGACCCGAAGTGCAGGAATACGCCCTCAGACTTCAGTTACCCACATCAGTACGACCCATACTTCCTTGCCCGTCGGTCAGGGTCTGCCCGTAAACTAGGAAGGTGTTTCGGGAGGACGCGTGATCAGCACGAAGCTGACATCAAACAGAAATACCCGTCACTTTGCCCGTCGCAAACGTCGCGGTCAATGAAAAAGTTATCAGAAACTTACAAGTGACCGACTTCAGTTAAAACTTCTCCCATCATTCGCCAGGCAAGGTCACCATCAGCGTCCGTCGCCACATGCTCCCCAAGACCTGCGCAAAACGGCTCCCCGAGCCATTTCTGCAGTACGCGCATGGTTCAGTTGCTCCGCCGTGTAGCCCCAACTCTCAGCACGGCGGAACGCCTGGGGCAGTGGCTAGCGCCAGCAGGGCGGAGATACCTGACAGAGCTTGACGGAGAGCGAACAGGAAGGCAAGGCAAGCGATGTGAGGAGAACTTGACGGAGAGCCGAACGAAAGTCAGCAGTGCAGCACTGGTCTGGCCTGTGTAAGCCAAAGCAGGGAAGAGCGTGGAGGAAGAATCTAGGTTTTCTTTGGCTGCTGCTGCTGTGGCTCCCTCGTTGCTATTGCAACAACCCTAGAGAACCTCGGGAACCTCACGGTCCGTAATTCGCGGCATTGCAACCTCAACCTTTGTGTTTGCACAGTAAGAGCGCGTTCGTTTTAGGATTCTTGCTGCTGCGTGCTAGCTCTGTGCACGCGACATTGTTCAGTAAAACTGATTGATTAGTTCGAGGCGTGTCCTTAAACCGAATTCTGTTTATTGTAGGATGTCCTTCCAGACGACCTTACAGCATACGTGTTTTTCTCCGTCGTAAAGCTTAGAACAATCACACCGTGTTGCCTCACTTCTCATCGCTAACAACAGCACTTTTGTATCTCGATTCTTGCTGCAGCCTTTCCTGCAAGTTCTATCGCGAAAATGCCGCCGCCAGTCGCGCCAGCCGTGCCAGCCGCGGGTCATTCTCTGCATGATATCGAGGGAGTTTGTGACTATTGCGGGGAGCCATGCGATAGTACGCAGGACGAGCTGAACGCGCTCTCGTGCACGTTCGAAGGATGCGCGAGCTCAGGCGTGTACCATCAACACTGCATCGAGGCGTTTTTAAAGAGCATCCGGCTGGACAAGTATGGTTCTTAAAACTCACGCCTTTAGTTACCTCCTCGTTGCAGCCGGTTCCGGTCAGGAAATGGTAGATCGATAGATAGGATGAACTTACAGTAGCTGTGAAATCACGGTAGTTATCGGGGTGTTACCCGATTAGAAACTCTCGAGTAAAAACTACGATTCCTTCGCGGTGAATGCTTTAGTCTCGCCTTCTTTAGAACGACCTCTAAAGTTGTAAGGATAGTGTTCCGTCTCTCTCTGTCAAGTTTTTTGGCGCTCAACGGGAAGTACTTAAAACGCATCCTGCTGACGTGGTTAAGAACCCTCTTGTTGATCTACTTCTGTCTAGTCGCAAGTTTTCCTTCTCTGCTCACTATGGGTTGTTGCAAGCTGTACAGCAAACATTAGGCGATTCCAATTTATAACAGCATATAGCAGCCAGTTATCTGGTATCAGGCCGAGGCGACACAGCAATTGGGGTGGAAAAAACCTCGAGATTTGAAGATCGCTACTTCAAATTTGGAACCTCCGTCTAGAAGCCTCCGTATTTCATCCATCCTTTTCATAACTCCGCTTAATCCTCTTCTTTGTTTTTGTTTCCACCAATCCTTTAACCGCCCCGTGATGACCCCACCATGGCAATTCTTACACGTCCTTTCATCCTTGCCCACTGTTACGCAGACAACGGAAGACGGGCTTTCAATGTCCACGTGGCAATGGCAAAGCGACGAAGTTCGATAAGCCGTGTCCTGGACGTGTAGGTTTCTCCTTACCATTGTTTTTCTGGCCATGGATCGAACCCTGTATGTTCTTGCTTTTTTCTTAGCCTTTTTTTCACCCAACTAACTTCACGAACAATTTTGGACTTCGTTGATTTTCACCGTTTTCTTGGACCGAGTGTTGATTTTCATTATTTTCATGGCTCATGCAGTCATCTGCGTGGTCTCCTACATTTGCTAATACCAATAGCTCTCCCTCCATGCGTGTTCCGTTGTTCCACTCCTCCATCTCTTTCATCTCATACCTCATGCGTCTCTTGCCTCGTGCGGCTAATGCCTTCGTCCTGCCTTGTCTCTCGTCTCTCTCGTCCGTGTGCTCGTCCCCGTGGCTCTCCTCCTTGCATTTCCCCCTTACTGATCTCGTGCCACTCCTGCGTCTCCAGATCACCAAGTCCCACCCGATTCATGCTCGGAACGAAAACAGGTGCGACATCTCCCTGCACACCCTTCCTTTCCCACCTTTCCCCACCCTTCCTCATCTCATCCCCTGTCTCCTGCGTCCGTCTCCGCGCGTTTCAAACGCCGCAACGAAGTTACTCTGCAAACAAATGCGTGCGGATGCGTTTGTTTTCCGCCTTGGCCGTTTCTTCCTGCGCTGTGTTCCTGTCCACTAGAAACTTTGTGCGAGAAATGTTGTGCGTAGCTTTCCCGCTTGCCTCCCGGCTTCCCTTATCAATTCGTGTTCGTTGCTCATCTCCTCGGCTTGTCCCTCCTCCGGCCGGACCGGACTCCCGTCTCAGCCGGACCTTTTATTAGGCATACAGGCATACTAAGACATATAATTCTTTGTTTCGTCACCTCATCTTTCACTTCTTACTCTCGCGCTCCCCCCGTTCCCCTCTCTCTCCGTTGCAGCAAGAAGCGGCGAAAGGCCAAGATGCCCGAGCCCCCTCCAGCCCCTGTGGGAGCTGCGGGGAAGAAGGGCGGCAAAGGCAAAGACGACAAGAAGGCCGACAGTAAATCCGGCGACGGCAAAAAGGAAGGGAAAACAGGCGACAGCAAAAAGGACGGAAAGTTAGGCGATAGTAAAAAGGAGGGGAAAACAGGCGACGGCAGCAAGGCAAAAGGATCATTCTCCGTGCCCTCCTCGTCTTCCAAAACCTCCACCTCACTACCTGCCGCCCCTGCGCCAAAGCCCACGGTCGCGCTACTCGTGCGCTCGTCTCTCCCACCCGCTGCCAAGGCTGCCGCGTCCGTGGCCAAGTCCGCGTCTGGTGGGGCCGGCCCGACTTCCCCATCAGCTACTAGCGGGGGTATAGGCGCGTCTGGTGGGGGCAGTGGGAGTGGGGGAGTGCCGGTGAAGGTTCTGTCGAAGTCCTGGAGTGCTGCTGCTGCGGGGCTGAAGGATGCTGCGGCAGCAGCTGTTGGTGCTGTGGGCAGCAGTAGCGGTAGTGGTGGAAACGGGCCTGCGAATGTGTGGTCGTCGTCGCCTGGCATCGTGTCCGGACCGTCCAAAGGGAAGGCCTCGGAGGTGAGTTATGCGAGCCTCGCTGCGCCGTTAGGTGGTGTGAGGACCAGCGACAGTATCGGTGGTAGTAGGGGTGGCAGTGGGGGTGGTGGGAACAGGCCTGTGAAAGCGTGGTCGTCGTCGGCTGCCATCGTGTCCGGACCTTCCAAAGGGAAGAACGCGGAGGTGAGTTATGCGAGCCTTGCTGCTCTTGCCGTTTCGTGGTGTGTGTAACTAGCGAGAGTAGTGACTCCAGTTATGGTGTCATTAGTGGCGACAGAATGAAAGGACATTTGTTGCCAGTGGCGAAAGTAGTGGCGAAATTATTTGCGGAAAGTAGTGTCGCGAGTAGTGACGGCAATAGTGGCAACGGTATTGACGAATTCAGTGGCGACAGGAGAGGCGATTGCAGTGAGCGACATTAACATCGACAGGGGGGCGAAAGCAGTGGCGGCGGGAGTGGCGATGGTAATTGCGACAGTACTGGCGGCAGCAGTGGCGACATAATGACGACAGTAGTGGCGACGATAGTGGCGGCAGTCGCGGCGACACTTGAAGTAGTGGTGACAGTGGTGGGAGTTGCGGTGGTGATAGCCGTGGTACCAAAGTGGTAACTGGAAGGATCGTGGTGGCATCGCAAGTGTGAATGCATTGTCGTCTCCGCGTGTCGTCATGTCTGGACCGCCTGAAAGAAAATACGCCTTATTGTCGCTTCCGCTATCTGCTTGTACGTTCTTCGTTTGGCAGAGCAAGGCGGAGAAGATCTCGTCCCCGAAGGACACATCATTGCAACAAGACGCCATTACCGGAGGCAAGGCATCTGACAAACCTGCAGCAGGAGGAGCAGGAGCCGAGGAGAAGAGCAGGAAAGACAAGTCCGGGAGCAAAGCGGCTAGCCAAGAAGGGGAAGGGAAGGCGGAGAATGGTAGTGGTGGTGGTAGTGGTAAGGGGAGTCAATCCAGACAGAAGAAGAAAGGCAAGGAGCAGTCGGTTCCCGTACCTGCGGTGCCTGCTCCGGTGACCGCCGCCGTGCCTGCGAACTCGGTTTGGAAAGCCAAGCCTGCTGCTCTGCTGCTTCGGCCAGAGGCTGGGAAGGCTCAGGCTCCGAGCCAACAGCAGGCACAGCAGCAGAAGCAGCCATCGCAGCAGCAGCAACAGCAGCCGCCGCAGCAACAGCAGCCGCCGCAGCAGGAACAGCAGCAGCAGGGGAAGCAGGCTGGAAGGGCGACAACAGAGTCGCAAGGGAAGGCAGATACCACTGTCACCTCCTCCCCTGTACCTCCTCCCCCCATCAAAACCACAACCAGCGTCTCCCCAGACCCCCCTCCCCCGTCTTCCACCCATCTCCCGTCGTCTACTTCCCTCTCCGTTTGGACCAAGGAATCCTCTTCACTCCACTCCACCTCTCTCCACTCCTCCTCACCCTCCTCTCTCCACTCCTCTCTCCATCCCGCCCCCCCGTCCTCCTCCTCTTCCTCGTCCTCCACACCAACTGAGTGCGAATTCTCCACCACCTCGGGCCTCTCCTCCCCCCCTTCCTCCTTCCCCTCCACTCCCCGCGCCATGGCGAGTCTCTCCCCCTCCGCCAGCATGGGCAGTTGCGCCGACCACCTCCCTGCCGAGCCTGTCACCGAGCCTTCCTCCAGCCCAGCGGAGCCTGCTGCCGTGCCCAGCGTCGTGCGGTCGGAAACGTTGTTGAGTGGGGAGGGGAGTGGGAGCGGAAGGGCGGTTAGTGATGTGGGCGTGCAGGAGGGGTTGCAAGTGAAGGCAGATCCGCAGGCACAGCAGCAGCAGCAGCAGTCTCAGCAACAGCAGAAACAGTCGCAGCAGCAGCAGCCGCGAAATACGGTGGTGGCTGCAGAGGGTGCTGCAGCAGGAGAGGTTAGCAAGGACAGCAATGTGTCAAATCCGGGCATGGGCTCAGTATCCGTTGATGCCGGTGCTGTTGCTGGTCCCGCTGCTGGTGCTGCTGCTGACAATGCGGCTGTCTCTGTGGGGGCCACCGCAGCTAGCGCTGCAGCCATGGCTGGTTCGGCAGAGATGGCTGGTGCTGCGCCGGCTGTGAGTGGTGGGCTGCGCCCGTGGAGTGATGCGTGCCGCTTTGCCCTGGAGACGAATCGCCGGCGAGTCTACGTGCGCCAGCTGCAAGAGTAAGCGCCCTGTCCAATGGATGCTTCTCACATTGCAAGTGGTTTCACTTTTTGTGGGGCTGAGATTCCCCTTGTCGATTTAGGGCAGGTGACCTGCACTGTGTGTGTCTCTCTCTCTCCCCCCCCTTTTCGCATTGACTTTCCTTTGTGCTCACCTCCCTCTCGTCGAGGCTCGGGTTCCCCCTGGGAGAGGCAGCGCAAGCAGTGCTGGTGCACGGGGGCGACCTGGGTGGCTGCCTCAACCACTTGCTCCAGTCTTATGAATCCGCTCAAATTCCACCCCTCCACTCCCTCCACGTCTGCTTCTCTCTCGCCTTCTCTCGCCAGGCTTGGTTTCCCCCTGGGAGAGGCAGCGCAGGCAGTGCTGGTGCACGGGGGCGACCTGGGTGGCTGTCTCAACCACCTGCTCGTCTACCACGAGTGCTCCTGCCGCCCCTCCGCCCTATCTGCTTTCACGCCCTCCCCATTCGTCGTGAGCTCACTCCTTCCCCATTTATCGTGAATATGCTTCCTCTCATGTCAGACTGTTGGTGTTAACTTGTGCATGCTCCCTTCTTGTTTCTGGTTGCTCTTGTTCTGAGATTTTACCATCTTAGCTTGGTTGCTCGTTTTCCGTGACGATGTGTGTGACTTGCTCCCTGGTTCCAGGATATTTCCCTCGAGTTGCAAGCTCTTTCCGAGATCATGGCCGCTGGATCGCTGCCTCAGGTACCATCCCACGCGCCCTTGCTTTGCACACCTCCTCTCTGCCGATCCACCACTTGGCATATGATTAGGGTCCACTTTACCAGGACTTGCTGAAACATGCATTGGTGCTGGCCTTGGGAGACATCAGCTACACCCTGCACCTCGTCATCTCCTATCCTTTACTCCTTATCCACCATTTTTAATACCACACTTATTCCTGTGTGTGTGTTCCCTTGTGTCTCACCAGGACCTGTTGGAACATGCATTGGTGCTGGCCTCTGGAGACATCAGCTACGCCCTGCACCTCGTCATCTCCTATCCTTTACTCCTTATCCACCATTTTTAATACCACACTTATTCCTGTGTGTGTGTTCCCTTGTGTCTCACCAGGACCTGTTGGAGCATGCATTGGTGCTGGCTTCTGGAGACATCAGCTATGCCCTGCACCTCGTCATCTCCCATCCCCATGGCCTCCCCTCTTCCCTCCCCTCCACACAGCCCTTCCCGTTCTACTCCTCTCCCCTCCTCTCCAACACCAACTTCGCAACCACCACCACCTCCTCCTCTACTCTCTCCTCCCTTCCTCCTCCGCACCCTTTCCACTCGAACCACTGCATACCGCACCAGACCACTGCCTTCCCTGTTGGGCCTTCTGATCCTGTGTTTGCGCATCTCTCCCGGTCCGCCTCCCCCTCTCCTGCCCCTTCGCCACCCTCTCCTCTCCCTGATTACTCCATCGCATCTCCCTCACTCGTCATCCCCCTCTCTAATACCACCCCTGGCACCTACTCTCACACCCCTATGACCACACTCACTCCCACCACTACTACCTCCTCCTCTTCCTCCCTCCAGCACACATCTCTTCTCTCCGATATTTGGTCTAGCTCATCGCCAAACCTTCCTTCTGCTGCCCATAATAGTCCCGCACCTCCCCCTGGGTTCGGCCCGAGCCTCAATGCCGCTTCTGCTCCACTCGGTAACAGTGCCAGCTTTGGTACTCTCGAGGCTCGCAGTGGGAGTCCTGCCCCGAACCTCATCCCGGGCAGCGGATGGAATTATAGCGGCCTGCCCGAGTTAAAAACTCAGCAGCGTGTTGATCCTGTGGGAGGGTGTGAAGCTGGAAGGAAAGTTTACGTGCCTGAGAGCATAGGCAGGTTGTGGGGGGCATCAGGGGGAGCAGCGGTAAGCGTGGCGGCACAGGACGATTCGCAGTGGTTGTGTGGGGTGAACAGTGACAGGAGCAGCGGCACCGCCAGTGGGCTCAGCAGCTGCAGCAACAGCAGCCACGGCTACTCGCAATATTCTGAAGAGGAGGGGCTTGGTGATTCGCTGTTGCTGCTACCAGGGGATGAGGAGGATCTTTTCTCCCGGATCCTCCCTGGTCTGCTGGGTTAAAATGCAGTGCCGTAAACCTTGTGCATCTGGCCCGGTTTTGTATAGCTGGGCCAAAATTTTGCTTGCTATGATTGAATCGGAAGGGAAACTTGTGGACGGGTCTTTAAACTGCTTGGAGGCGGCTGTTCACTCTGTATTTTTATGGTACACGTTTGCTTGAACTAAAGCGCTTCTCCTTGTGCGTTTTCGCGAAGGCCAACAACTGCGAATTTATCACTGTTCTCAGAGTGATTTGTAGTGATGAACTCAGTGGCGAGGTACTCATCACCCAGCTTTGGTGACCTGCCGAACCTCAGCAACTCCGCGTAATGTACGCGCTACAGATAATTTGGGAAAGAAATTGCTACATGAACTACAAATACTATCTTTCGTTACAAATTTGTGTGATTCTAGCAGTTCACCCTACACTGAAGGCGCAGATCTTAGTGGATCTTAGCATATCACACATTGGAACGAAACTAGTAAAACCATTCTCCACAACACCAGCCAAAGAAGCTCAATTGTCACACGGTTACACTGAGCTGTTCAAACAACCGGTATAGTTTGACGCCATGTCAGCAGTGGACATGTTGGTCCGGCTTGTCATCAGCCGACATAAACAATGGGTGCCAGACATGCCAATTTCCCATGCCCAACTTGTCAAAACATAACTGGTGCACGTTTATGAAGTTACATATTAAAACCGAAACATCATCGGTGGACAAGGGCAGTTGCACATTTGTCGTAAAATCTGCAGCGCACATGTTTCCCACAGTCCAGCATGTCTTCACACAACATTGGGGTTGGATAGTGTCAGTACACCTTTGGGAACACTCTTATTCTTGACTGATGTGGGGATTGCTATTTAGTCGACTCAACAATGGTCGGTCGGATGGCGACAGGACACCTACGGGAACACTCGTATTCTGGTCGGGACTGAAGGGGAGATTGCTTTTGAGTCGACTCAAAAGCGGTCGGTTGGTCGAATGGTGACAGGACACCTTTGAGAACTCTCTTATTCTGGTCTGGACTGAAGTGGGGATTGCTATTTAGTTGACTCAACAGCGGTCGGTTGGTCGAATGGTGTCGGGGCACCTTTGAAAACTCTCTTATTCCGGACTGAAGGGGAGATGAGGCGCGAGAGGGACTGAGAGGGACGATTCTTGGAGACGTCTCAAAAGTGGGACTGAGATTGCGCTGGGCTTGTTTAAGAGAGCGGGCTGTCAACACGGGCTTATAGCCTCGGCCTGTTAGTCTGGGCTGAAGGGAGAGAGACTGCAGGAGACGGGGGATGTTGGGAGGAGTGTGATGAGAGGAGTGAGATGGGAGGAGTGAGATGGGAGGAGTGAGATGGGAGGAGTGAGATGGGAGGAGTGAGATGGGAGGAGTGAGATGGGAGGAGTGAGATGGGAGGAGTGAGATGGGAGGAGTGAGATGGGAGGAGTGAGATGGGAGGAGTGAGATGGGAGGAGTGAGATGGGAGGAGTGAGATGGGAGGAGTGAGATGGGAGGAGTGAGATGGGAGGAGTGAGATGGGAGGAGTGAGATGGGAGGAGGGCGAGACGCACCAGAGGGCGTGGATGTGTGGGGAGGGGGTGTTTGAGGCGTCTAGAAAATCATAACCTGGGCCTGTTTGTTTGAACTGAGGGGGAGATGAGACGAGGGACGTCTGGAGGAGTGAGATGGGAGGAGGGGGCGAGGGACCAGAGGGCGTGGATGGCAGGGGAGGGGGTGTTGAGGGGGAGGAGGAGGAGGGAGAGAAGGGGATGGACGACGGAGGCCCACGCAGGGGAGAATGGAGGAGGGAAGGAGTGAGGGGAGTGGGAGGTGTGGTGGGAGGAATGGTGGGAGGTGTGGTGGGAGGAGTGGAGGGAGGTGTGGAGGGATGAAGCGAAGTGGAAGATGGGTTGGAGGAGGGCGAGGGGGATGGAGAAGTTGAGGTGAGGGAGGATGGTGCCGTGGCGGTTGTGCTTCGCATTGCTGATGGAAGGGAGAAAGGGGCCAGGAGGTGAAGGGTGGTTGAGGGGCGTTTAGAGAGGGAAGAGGGCCAAGTGGGCAGGACGAGTGATAGGTCCTGACATTGCAATGTGTGTACCTCGTAACACTGTGACATGGTTACCTCATAACATGTGCTTAGGTCATAAGATTGCAACGTAGTTACTCTGTAACGAACGCCCCTGGAAAGTAACCAGCTCACCTTGTAACCAGCTCACCTTGTAACCAGCTCACCTTGTAACCAGCTCACCTTGTAACCAGCTCACCTTGTAACCAGCTCACCTTGTAACCAGCTCACCTTGTAACCAGCTCACCTTGTAACCAGCTCACCTTGTAACCAGCTCACCTTGTAACCAGCTCACCTTGTAACCAGCTCACCTTGTAACCAGCTCACCTTGTAACCAGCTCACCTTGTAACCAGCTCACCTGGTAACCAGCTCACCTTGTAACCAGCTCACCTTGTAACCAGCTCACCTTGTAACCAGCTCACCTGGTAACCAGCTCACCTGGTAACCAGCTCACCTTGTAACCAGCTCACCTGGTAACCAGCTCACCTGGTAACCAGCTCACCTTGTAACAAGGGCGATCATCTCCCCCTGTGCATTCACCACTGCTCCTCCACTCGCCCCGGCATGCACTGCTGCTGTCGTCAGCACCATCGCTGCCACCCTCCCCCCTCTCTTCCCTCCTCTGCTCCCTTGATCATGCTCCCCTATCTGCTCCGCTGTGCTTAGACACGCCTCTACCTCTCGCTCCCCGCCTCTCAACCCATCAGGTGCGCCAGTGCTGCTGCTCTCGGTGATATCAAGTCTCTGCTCTTGCTGCTGCTGCTGCGGATGCTCTTTCTCGTGCTCGTGCTCCGGGTCGACTGTGACGATGCGAGAGACAATGCCTGAGAAGACTGACGGGGGAGTGGCTGAAAAGAGGGGATTACAAGCAGAGCGGGCGGGTGAGAGATGGGGTTACGGGGGTTGGGGAGGTGGAGATGTTAAGCGACAGAAAGGAGTGGTTGAATGGGGTTCGAAAAGGTGGTGCTAGCACTTTTGAGGGAAGAACTGGCAAGAGTAAAGGTAAGTAAAGAATAAAACTGAGAAGATATGTTGTTGCACGTACCCAGGGCGGGCGGGAATACAGCATAGCCAATGACGACAGCTGTGGACCCACACTCAAGCTCAGAGGCACTCGGGCGAATGGGACGGACGGCCAGACCGCTGCTGTGTTGTGATTGACCCGCTTCTCCTGCATCTGCTTGCTGCACTGTGGTCGTATGTTGGTGCGTTGGTCTGGGGTAGGTATGACTTGATGGTGCAGGTGGTATCTGGTGGGGGTGCAGGCTGTGGTCCGGAGGTGCAGGTGCAGATGGTATCTGGTGGGGGTGCTGGTGCTGTCTCTGATGTGGAGGTGCAGGTCGTATGTGGAGCAGGGACTGACTGTCGTCGAGAGGTGCAGGTGGCATGTGGTGCAGGTGCAGACTGTTATCTGGAGGCGCAGGTGGTATGTGGTGCAGGTGCTGACTGTTATCTGAAGGTGCAGGTGGTATGTGGTGCCGGGACTGACTGTCGTCCACCGGTGCAGGTGGCATCTGGTGCAGGTGCAACAGGGCAACGTCAAGGGAGCCAGAGCAGACATATATGATACCTGCTCGCACCCATGCTGCTGGCGGGGGGTTGGAGGGTAGTAAGGAGGAGTGTAGAGTGGTGAAAGGTGTGGTGTCAGAGGGAGGGGTGGAGGAGGGAAGAGGGGAGAAGCATGGGACTCGCACCCATATGTCGTGAGCAGGGGGCGAGGAGAGGAGATCAAGAGAAGGGGAGGAGAACGGGGACGAGGAGGAGGGAGCAGGGGAGGAGGGAGAGGAGGGGGATGAGGAAGAGGAGGAACTGGAAGAGCGTTCGTGGTGGGAGAGTGGCTGACTGCGCTCCTTGAGCAAGGGAGTGAGGATGTGAGCGTTGGTGAGTATGAGGCCAGAGGGGGAGATGATCACTCCAGAGCCCCACACGGTTCCCCCAACCACTATGCCTACAACGGATGGCAGTGCTGCTGCCACTGCTCTCACCACTCCTCCTGCCCCTCCTCCTGTCCCTCCTCTTCCTGCTCCTATTCCTACCCCTGACTCTCCTCCTGCTGATGCTCCTGCTGTAACTGAAGCTGCAGCAAGGGGTAGCCGTGTGTCTGGTACGGCAGCTGCTGCAAGGGACGGCTGTAATTGCGCATTTGATGAAAATGTTTCGCCGGGGCTGCAAGCCATCGGAGCAATATGTGCCCCGTCTAATGCTTGGCAGCGGGCAGCCATCTGCTTTCGAGGCACCTCAGCAACGGTGCTACAAGCGATTGGAGCTCTGTGGACTGCTCGGCATGAAGGAATGGGCGCTCTGCCTACTTCTTGGCATGATGCAGCATTAATCGTATAGAGCAGTGGAGTGATAACCTTTCTGTAGGGTATATCTTCTGATGCGAGAACTTGGGGCCAGTGTGGCTTCAGCTGGGCAGCTGTGGATTTGTGGGTGTGTGATGACGTGTCGGGCACCGATTGGATGGCAGATGCAATTAATGAGATGGGGGCAGCAACCTGAAGTGAGGGGAGGTGAGGGAGGAGCAAGGGAGAAGGGCAGCGAACAGGGCGGAGCGAGGAAGATTGAGGAAACGAAAAGTGGAAGCGTAACAGTTGAAGGGAGGAGAGTAGGGTGATGGTTGAACGGAGAGTGGGGTGATGAGGCTAACTGGGAAAGTGATGGTTGCTGATGGCAGGAGAGGGTGGTGCATGGTAATGGGTGGTGCATGGTAATGGGTGGTACATGGTAATGGGTGGTGCATGGTAATGGGTGGTGCATGGTAATGGGTGGTGCATGGTAATGGGTGGTGCATGGTAATGGGTGGTGCATGGTAATGGGTGGTGCATGGTAATGGGTGGTGCATGGTAATGGGTGGTGCATGGTAATGGGTGGTGCATGGTAATGGGTGGTGCATGGTAATGGGTGGTGCATGGTAATGGGTGGTGCATGGTAATGGGTGGTGCATGGTAATGGGTGGTGCATGGTAATGGGTGGTGCATGGTAATGGGTGGTGCATGGTAATGGGTGGTGCATGGTAATGGGTGGTGCATGGTAATGGGTGGTGCATGGTAATGGGTGGTGCATGGTAATGGGTGGTGCATGGTAATGGGTGGTGCATGGTAATGGGTGGTGCATGGTAATGGGTGGTGCATGGTAATGGGTGGTGCATGGTAATGGGTGGTGCATGGTAATGGGTGGTGCATGGTAATGGGTGGTGCATGGTAATGGGTGGTGCATGGTAATGGGTGGTGCATGGTAATGGGTGGTGCATGGTAATGGGTGGTGCATGGTAATGGGTGGTGCATGGTAATGGGTGGTGCATGGTAATGGGTGGTGCATGGTAATGGGTGGTGCATGGTAATGGGTGGTGCATGGTAATGGGTGGTGCATGGTAATGGGTGGTGCATGGTAATGGGTGGTGCATGGTAATGGGTGGTGCATGGTAATGGGTGGTGCATGGTAATGGGTGGTGCATGGTAATGGGTGGTGCATGGTAATGGGTGGTGCATGGTAATGGGTGGTGCATGGTAATGGGTGGTGCATGGTAATGGGTGGTGCATGGTAATGGGTGGTGCATGGTAATGGGTGGTGCATGGTAATGGGTGGTGCATGGTAATGGGTGGTGCATGGTAATGGGTGGTGCATGGTAATGGGTGGTGCATGGTAATGGGTGGTGCATGGTAATGGGTGGTGCATGGTAATGGGTGGTGCATGGTAATGGGTGGTGCATGGTAATGGGTGGTGCATGGTAATGGGTGGTGCATGGTAATGGGTGGTGCATGGTAATGGGTGGTGCATGGTAATGGGTGGTGCATGGTAATGGGTGGTGCATGGTAATGGGTGGTGCATGGTAATGGGTGGTGCATGGTAATGGGTGGTGCATGGTAATGGGTGGTGCATGGTAATGGGTGGCTTTCAGAAGGACTTTTGAGACGTCTCAAAAGGAGCTTAGCCTTGATGCATCCCATGGTCTCAAACACTGGCAACCTCTTCATGGTATGTGATGAGATATGATGACGTGGCATGGCATGGCAGCTCATGTCATCTGATGGGATGGGACTAACCGGGATGGTGACGGTGGCTGACGACATGAGAGGGTGGATGACAGTGACAGGTGGCAAAAGAATGGCCGTGATGCATCCCATGGCGTCAAACACTGGCGCCCCCTCCATGCCTGTCAGACCATGCCATATCATGCCACACCATGCCATGCCATGCCATGCCATATCATGCCACACCATGCCATGCCATGCCATGCCATATCATGCCACACCATGCCATGCCATGCCATATCATGCCACGCCATGCCATGCCATGCCATATCATGCCACGCCATGCCATGCCATGCCATATCATGCCACGCCATGCCATGCCATGCCATATCATGCCAGGCCATGCCACGCCATGCCACACCACGCCACGCCATGCCACACCATGCCACACCACGCCACGCCATGCCACGCCATGCCACACCACGCCACGCCATGCCACGCCTATACTCTCTAACGCTCCGCTATGCTCCCTGCCCTTCCCTTGCTGACTTTGAGACGTCTCAAAAACAAGGACGCGGAGGGCAGGAATGGCAACCTCTTCACACTCCGCTATGCTCCCTGCCCTTCCTTCGCTGACTGCTACCTGGCAGGAAGGGAAGGTCGAGGGCCAGGAGCCCTGCCGGCAGCACAGCTGACAGCACTCCTGATGACAGGCTGACAGACAAGCAATGCAGGAGGGAGAGGCGGTGGGGAGCGAGGTAGAAGGAATAAATGAGGGAATTCGGAAACAAGGAGACGCAGGAGCATGGTCCAGGAGCGATGCTGGCAGCACATGAAAGAGAGGGGTACAGTGTTGGTATCATCTGGGCTACAACAATTATCTTATCATGGTGCCTAAAAAATGTAATACAATGTATCACAACCAACTACATACTTCCAATTTCGCTGGTTGCAACGAAATGTGGTATAAATACCCCTCGTTGTGTACCCCTTATGAGCATCTCCTGCGCACCCCACATATGAATCACATGCATACCCTTGCAACCAGCACTTGCGGACCTTTTGACCTGCGTACCCCTTCGCCTGCGGACCCTTACGAGCATCAACCACATGCCCTTTATAAGCATCACCTGTTGGAGAACAAGGTGGGTGCCAACACTCCAAATGGCGAGCCAAGCAAGAGGACAGGACTGCCAGGTGTCGACGTATCATTGGCAGAAAGAGATGATGGTGGGCTGACCTGGCAGTGTAGGAAGCGATTAAGTGGAGAGAAAAGGAGCACTTGTGGCTATCACATCGAATGGACCCATGTAGAATTAAAAGCAATGAGAAGGCATGATGGTGGTATCCACCAAATGTTACACTTAATTGACTAGTATAATATCCAGAGTGTTGAAGGTACGATGGCAGAAGCGCATCAAAAGCCAACAGACAATTGAGGCGCCTCAAAAAGAATGTTGAAGGTACGATGGCAAAAGACCAATGTCAAGGCACGATGGCAAGAACAGAAAGAGGGCAACGAAAACATCTGTTCGTGGTTCATCTGCCTGTACCTCCAGATCGGCCGATATTTTAGCCGACTCAAAAATCGACTTATCACACATCGGCCCGTCCCTCCAGATCGGCTCAGCCGTGCTAGTGCTCAGCCGTGCTCGTGCTCAGCCGTGCTCGTGCTCAGCCGTGCTCGTGCTCAGCCGTGCTAGTGCTCAGCCGTGCTCGTGCTCAGCCGTGCTCGTGCTCAGCCGTGCTCGTGCTCAGCCGTGCTCGTGCTCAGCCGTGCTCGTGCTCAGCCGTGCTCGTGCTCAGCCGTGCTCGTGCTCAGCCGTGCTCGTGCTCAGCCGTGCTCGTGCTCAGCCGTGCTCGTGCTCAGCCGTGCTCGTGCTCAGCCGTGCTCGTGCTCAGCCGTGCTCGTGCTCAGCCGTGCTCGTGCTCAGCCGTGCTCGTGCTCAGCCGTGCTCGTGCTCAGCCGTGCTCGTGCTCAGCCGTGCTCGTGCTCAGCCATGCTCGTGCTCAGCCATGCTCGTGCTCAGCCATGCTCGTGCTCAGCCATGCTCGTGCTCAGCCATGCTCGTGCTCAGCCATGCTCGTGCTCAGCCATGCTCGTGCTCAGCCATGCTCGTGCTCAGCCATGCTCGTGCTCAGCCATGCTCGTGCTCAGCCATGCTCGTGCTCAGCCATGCTTGTGCTCAGCCATGCTTGTGCTCAGCCATGCTTGTGCTCAGCCATGCTCGTGCTCAGCCATGCTCGTGCTCAGCCATGCTCGTGCTCAGCCATGCTCGTGCTCAGCCATGCTTGTGCTCAGCCATGCTTGTGCTCAGCCATGCTTGTGCTCAGCCATGCTTGTGCTCAGCCATGCTTGTGCTCAGCCATGCTTGTGCTCAGCCATGCTTGTGCTCAGCCATGCTTGTGCTCAGCCATGCTTGTGCTCAGCCATGCTTGTGCTCAGCCATGCTTGTGCTCAGCCATGCTTGTGCTCAGCCATGCTTGTGCTCAGCCATGCTTGTGCTCAGCCATGCTTGTGCTCAGCCATGCTTGTGCTCAGCCATGCTTGTGCTCAGCCATGCTTGTGCTCAGCCATGCTTGTGCTCAGCCATGCTTGTGCTCAGCCATGCTTGTGCTCAGCCATGCTTGTGCTCAGCCATGCTTGTGCTCAGCCATGCTTGTGCTCAGCCATGCTTGTGCTCAGCCATGCTTGTGCTCAGCCATGCTTGTGCTCAGCCATGCTTGTGCTCAGCCATGCTTGTGCTCAGCCATGCTTGTGCTCAGCCATGCTTGTGCTCAGCCATGCTTGTGCTCAGCCATGCTTGTGCTCAGCCATGCTCGTGCTCAGCCATGCTCGTGCTCAGCCATGCTCGTGCTCAGCCATGCTCGTGCTCAGCCATGCTTGTGCTCAGCCATGCTTGTGCTCAGCCATGCTTGTGCTCAGCCATGCTTGTGCTCAGCCATGCTTGTGCTCAGCCATGCTTGTGCTCAGCCATGCTCGTGCTCAGCCATGCTCGTGCTCAGCCATGCTCGTGCTCAGCCATGCTCGTGCTCAGCCATGCTCGTGCTCAGCCATGCTCGTGCTCAGCCATGCTCGTGCTCAGCCATGCTCGTGCTCAGCCATGCTCGTGCTCAGCCATGCTCGTGCTCAGCCATGCTCGTGCTCAGCCATGCTCGTGCTCAGCCATGCTCGTGCTCAGCCATGCTCGTGCTCAGCCATGCTTGTGCTCAGCCATGCTTGTGCTCAGCCATGCTTGTGCTCAGCCATGCTCGTGCTCAGCCATGCTCGTGCTCAGCCATGCTCGTGCTCAGCCATGCTCGTGCTCAGCCATGCTTGTGCTCAGCCATGCTTGTGCTCAGCCATGCTTGTGCTCAGCCATGCTTGTGCTCAGCCATGCTTGTGCTCAGCCATGCTTGTGCTCAGCCATGCTTGTGCTCAGCCATGCTTGTGCTCAGCCATGCTTGTGCTCAGCCATGCTTGTGCTCAGCCATGCTTGTGCTCAGCCATGCTTGTGCTCAGCCATGCTTGTGCTCAGCCATGCTTGTGCTCAGCCATGCTTGTGCTCAGCCATGCTTGTGCTCAGCCATGCTTGTGCTCAGCCATGCTTGTGCTCAGCCATGCTTGTGCTCAGCCATGCTTGTGCTCAGCCATGCTTGTGCTCAGCCATGCTTGTGCTCAGCCATGCTTGTGCTCAGCCATGCTTGTGCTCAGCCATGCTTGTGCTCAGCCATGCTTGTGCTCAGCCATGCTTGTGCTCAGCCATGCTTGTGCTCAGCCATGCTTGTGCTCAGCCATGCTTGTGCTCAGCCATGCTTGTGCTCAGCCATGCTTGTGCTCAGCCATGCTTGTGCTCAGCCATGCTTGTGCTCAGCCATGCTCGTGCTCAGCCATGCTCGTGCTCAGCCATGCTCGTGCTCAGCCATGCTTGTGCTCAGCCATGCTTGTGCTCAGCCATGCTTGTGCTCAGCCATGCTTGTGCTCAGCCATGCTTGTGCTCAGCCATGCTTGTGCTCAGCCATGCTTGTGCTCAGCCATGCTTGTGCTCAGCCATGCTTGTGCTCGTGGTTACCATACCTTCAGTTCACGCCTCAGCCTCATCTGCTCTTGAACCATGCACCGCAATGCCTCTGATGCTGCTACTGCCTCTGCTGGTGCCCCTGCCCCTGATACTGTCGCTGCTGTTGATGGTGGGTGAACGAGTCTAATGCGCAGCAGTGCCAGCTCTAGAGCAGCTGACGTTGATGCTGCTGCTGGTGGTGCTGTAGGGAAGGGAGAGGAAGAAGAGGAGGAGGAGGAGAGTGAGGAGGAAGGGAGAGCAGGAGAGAAAGAGGAAGAGGAGGGGAATGAGGTGGAGGATGAGGAGGGGCAGTCTGTGTCAGAGACCTGGAAAGATGCTGTGTGGGAAGAGGTGATGGCTGGAAGCTCCACCTGGGCAGAGGAAAAAGGAAAGTGTTGAGGCTCTTAGAAAATGAGGTGACTTTTGAGTCGACTCAAAAGCCACCTGGGCAAAGAGAGAAGGAAAGTGTCGAGGCTCTTGGAAAATGAAGGGACAAGCTGACACCTTTTGAGGCGCCAAAAAAAAAGAAAGAGAAAGGTACCTTACCTTTAATATAAAAGCTATAGAATTACCTTCTGGTAACTTGTGATACCTTACCTTCCTCCACCATCTTCCACCTTCCTCCACCATCTTCCACCTTCCAACTACTTCTAACGTTTTCTCTCCTAAGGCACATAAAGGCACTCACAAAGCAGAGATCCGCCGGTAAAGAGCAGGGCTGTAATTGTGATAGTCCATGCAGGGATGAGGACATGTTTTGAGGCGCCTAAAAGAAGAAGGTGCACATTCTCCGACCGATCAGGTGGAGAGCAGGCACCCACCTGGAATGATGCTGTGTGGGAAGAGCTGATGGCTGGAAGTTCCACCTGGGCAGACAAAGAGAGGGAGGAAGGGGGAGGGAGGCGGGAAGACGGTAGGGAGGAGGGAGGGGCGGTCTGTGTCAGAGACCTGGAATGATGCTGTGTGGGATGGGAAGAGCTGATGGCTGGAAGCTCCACCTGGGCAAAGGAAGAAGGTGCACATTCTCCGAACGATCAGGGCACTCAGAAAGAAAAGATGTGACTTTTGAGTCGACTCAAAAGTCACCTCGTTTCCATGCAGGGTTGAGGGCATGCTTTGAGGCGCCTAACAGAAGAAAGTGCACATTCTCCGACCGACTGAGACATTCACAAAGCAGAGCAGCTCCGCGGGTCGGGCTGAGAGGGCCCATGCAGGGCAGGGGAGAATTTCTCAACTACTCTTCGAATCTTCTCTGCTAAGACCGACCGAGACACTCACAAAGCAGAGCAGCTCCGCTGGCAGCGAGACGGGCCGTGGGGGTCCGTTCGGTGATGAAGCCTGGCAGGGGGGTGGGTGTAATGGGAGGGGGGGAGTTGGGAATAAGTATTTTCAAAACTCAGTCTGTGGGATGGTGGAGGCTGGCGAAAAGGGGGTGGGCGTGGTGGTGTGTGGTGTAGGGGGGCGCGTGTGGTGTTTGGGGAGGGGTTGGGGTGTGTTGTGTAGAGAGGGAGTGGGGATGGTGTTTGCGGGGCATGGAGTGTGGCGTTCTTAGTGAAGGACGGAGAGAACTAGGGATGGAAGGATAAAAGGAATAGTTTCGACTTGGATCCAACGGTCCTAACTCGCCCTATTCTCCTCTAAGCTGAGTGAAGGAAGGAGAGAACTAGGGATGGAAGGATGGAATGGGATCCATCCACCAAGGGAAGCATTATGTGACTCCCCTCCCTTCTTACAGTTCAGCAGGCAGACGAAGACATGAGGCAACGCGAAGATAAGCCTATTGAGATGGTAATAGCGGTGCTACCTCAAAGGTAATGTCAATGCGTGTGCCAGGAAGCAGACGGGGAGCCAACAGGCTTTGCTGCTGCTGCTGCTGCTGCTGCTGCTGCTGCTGCTGCTGCTGCTGCTGCTGCTGCTGCTGCTGCTGCTGCTGCTGCTGCTGCTGCTGCTGCTGCTGAAAGGGCCAGCGTCGCGGTGCTGAGTGGTATTTGGACATCTGCTGCTGCTGTTGCTGCTGTTGCTGCTGTTGCATGACAAAGGAGCGAACAATCCTCCCAGGAGCAATCACCGTCACCTCCTCCCCATCCCACCTGCACCTGCCACCCTCCTCCCCCCCTGCCATCTCTCCCCCTGCCCCTGCCACATCCCCATGTAGTTGCCATTCGGAATCAGACAGACGACCAGGCAACACGATACCAGACGCTGACACGGCTGTTGTGCCGTTGCTGGGAGGGCAGGTGATGGGGGGTAGCGGAAAGGGGTAAAGCGGGGAGGGGATGGGGGGTGAGGAAGTAGAGTGGGAATGGGAGGGAATCAGACAGTCGACCAGGCAACACGATACCAGACGCTGACACGGCTGTTGTGCCGTTGCTGGGAGGGCAGGTGATGCGGGGTACCGGAAAGGGGTAAAGCGGGGAGGGGATGGGGGGTGAGGAAGTAGAGTGGGAATGGGAGGGAATCAGACAGTCGACCAGGCAACACGATACCAGACGCTGACACGGCTGTTGTGCCGTTGCTGGGAGGGCAGGTGATGGGGGGTAGCGGAAAGGGGTAAAGCGGGGAGGGGATGGGGGGTGAGGAAGTAGAGTGGGAATGGGAGGGAATCAGACAGTCGACCAGGCAACACGATACCAGACGCTGACACGGCTGTTGTGCCGTTGCTGGGAGGGCAGGTGATGCGGGGTACCGGAAAGGGGTAAAGCGGGGAGGGGATGGGGGGTGAGGAAGTAGAGTGGGAATGGGAGGGAATCAGACAGTCGACCAGGCAACACGATACCAGACGCTGACACGGCTGTTGTGCCGTTGCTGGGGGGGCAGGCGGGGGGGGGGGTTGGGGGTAAAAAGAGGGAGAAACGCGGGGGAAGGGTGGGTTGGGAAGAGAGGAAGTAGAGTGGACGGGGAAGGGACGAGTCACCGTGGCAGCATGATACCAGACGCTGACACGGACGTTGTGCCGTTGCTGGGAGGGACAGCAGTGGGTGGGGGGAGGGGATTTGGAATGGGAAGATGGGGAAGGGACGGGAGGAGAGCGGGAAGGGGAAGGGACAAGTCGCCCGGGCAGCACGATACCAGACGCTGACACGGCTGTTGTGCCGTTGCTGGTTGTGCAGCGATGGGAAGAGGGTAAGGTGAAGGGGACGAAAGGGAAGGGAGGGGAGGCGGTTCAAAAGGCAGCAACAGAAGGAGTCGCTATTGTGCCATTATTGGTTTAGAAGGTGGTGGGAGGAGGGATAAGAGACGAGCATGGGAGGGAAGGAAGCAGGAAGGGTAGAAGGGACAGGTGCGGGCGGGTAGGAGAGTAGGGGGAGGTTGTGAGGGTAGAAAGATGAGGAAAGGGGGGGAGGGAGAGAGGGGTTACCAAGGACAAATGGTGTAAAAAAACCCTGTACCCCTCACATCCCTCCAGTAAGAAAACCCAATCACACCTCCTATCCCTTTCCCCCTTCTTCCCCCCAAACCCCTCATCCCATCCCACCCCCTCTCTCCCCCCTCCCCTTTCCCCTTCCCTCAAAACCCGCTTCTCCCTCACATCCCCATACACGCTTCCTCAGCTAGCGAGTTACCTGGAGTGGTAGAAATCGAATCGCAGCAGCTTGCGACCCTTGGGATCCTGCAGTCAACGGGAGTCAACGGAAGTCAGCGCAAGACGACGCAAGTGGATCAAACCAGAAGATCGCGATCAACCTGGCGAGCTGCCATTACGTTCGAGAAACGTAGAGAAGCCTTTTGAGGCGCCTTTTGAGGCGACTTTTGAGGACTTTTGAGGCGCCTTTTGAGGCGACTTTCGAGGACTTTTGAGGTGCCTTTTGAGGCGACTTTTGAGGCGCCTCAAAAGAAGATCGCGATCAACCTGGCGAGCTGCCATTACGTTCGAGAAACGTAGAGAAGCTTCCCAAACGTCCCAGAAACTGTAACTAGTAGCGAGCGTTTTCTAAATGCGGATGAAGAGGCGACTGAATTCAGGGAATTGCGGCCCCTTGCGCTCATAAGTCACTTCTGCTTCGTGAAAGCGGCGGAGGAGGCGATGAAACGACATGATCTAAGGACTTACGGGCCCCTGAACGCGAACGAGGCAACCCGTGCTCCTCGCCAGTCGCACCACTCTGTCGTCCATGGCTTCTCCGGCTGTCTCGAGGGATTCTAGCAGCTAATCAGCAGATGTTCGTATCTTCTTTACAGAAATTCTGGTATCAAATCGGCTATTACGTACGAAACAGTGTCAAATTCTACCGCTTCCGCAAGTCCAGCCGTGGTTCGCTCCTCGCGCTTCCCTTTGCTATCTATCCTGTCTGCTTTGCCGGCTTAAACGTCTTCTGGACGCGTCGAAAGTAGAGTAAGCGAGGACCCGCGCGGATGTCATGCAGCGTGCACGATTTGGAAAAGCAAAAGCACGGCCTTCCCTGCGACACCACGAAAGGTTGGTACTCAAGCTTCTTGACCTACATTTGTTCTCTAAAGAGCCCTACTAGAACGGAGTCAACATTGCCTCGTGTATGTACGCGATAGAAGAAAGCAGCTAACTCGACTTCAGTCGGGAAGTGGCTGTAGGATCTATATCCAGTTGCCTAAGCCGTTTCTGAACAAAATCAAGTAAATGCCCTCAAACCAAGCCATACGCGGTATGCACATATTTTGCGCGTTGCAGGTCGGTACCTTTGCAAAGATGTCCAGCCTGGCCAAATGTCGTTACTCGATGCTCAAGTTCCACCAGCACCGCCCACACCACCAGAGCAGCGCCACAAACGGTGTACTTGTCGTTACACGGATCGCCAGCTGCTGGCTGCGCTGAGGAGCGAGCACAGTGACCGTGAGATCGTCCACGTTATCGAGCTTTATCGGGCAAGAAGTTTGGCCGTCATCCTAATCCGTCAAAATTGACGCTCGGTCGTGGCGAACGGAACGGAACTGCGAAGCAAATGACCCACGACGCGGACCGCCCTGTGGTGCAGCGGCAGGGACGTGTACACCAGCGCCTGAGGTGAGGGGCAGTTCAACAGAGAATTTTGCCGCGAAAGCGCGGTTTGTTTTAATTTTGCCACGTGGCGAGCCTACGATCTCGTAAATCGCGAATTGTTTTATTGTTCCCACAAATTTCAAGAGAAATTTAGTTAAGCATATTGGATCACATATACTGCTCTGCCCGCGGGCAAACATAGAATCCATATAGGTGAGGCATGCGTTAGGGATGCATCAAACCTAAACGCCTAGAGGCAAGGTGTTCAGGGTTGATGCCTCCCTAACGCATGCCAGGCCCGAATGGGTTTTATTTTTGCCCACGGGCAGCGCAGTACAGAACTTAACTAAATTTCTCATGAAGTTTGTGGTTTCAATAAAACAGATCGCGGTTCCCGCGATCGAAGGCATGCCACGTGGCGATAATAAAAAGAACCGCGATTCCGCGGAATTTGGGTTTTTAGTTATTTCGGAAGGGGTACTTCCGACCCTGCGCTTTCTAGGGAGCTTCATCTCTACCTGCACAGAGTTTCCCATGTTTCGACGCCCAGGCAGAAGACTTATTGGGCTGGGACAGAACTCGGCTCCACGTTTATCCACGTGTCAGTCACTGCGCATCCCAACCACTGCTGCTGCACACAGAGAAACAGTGCACAACCGCTTTTGTTATTTTCTGCCGAGCCAAAACCACGTTCTGGGTGGCTCGGCACCTCACTGTTTCGATATCTGGGGGGGATCATTTTCGCGCCCAAACTTCGTCCAGTAACACACGCAAGGGCGACACTGCAAATGGAAATAAACTCCGTCCAGTCAAGTGACTTCAACCTCCGCCAAACGACGTTAATAGCTCCCCATAACAGAAATGCGATCTAGTTTTAGGCTGATTTGAATATAATAGAAACTTAGCCATTATTTTTTAGGATTGCATATGGCCTTTCTTAATTAATTTGTAAAACGGTGTTAACATTCAGGGCATTATTGTGTTTCCTTTTCCTCTAAAATTGAAATATGCAAATTTCATTTAAAGGGACGAAACATCGTGCAAGTTGCAATAGCCAGGTTTATAGAAGAAAATGGCATGATCTTGCATGCATTTACAGTCCTATAGTATTGTCTACATTTGTAAACATAGTGTTACGTATTTACGTGTTAAGCCTTTAAACATTCATGGGTGTTTAAGTCCACAGAATAACCTATTTGTGAGAATTTAACTTCACAAATATAATAATAATATAACATCACGGTTAGAAGTGAAACAGAGTACACATAATAACATATGTGTGAAAATGATATCATGTGTTCTGAAACGCCCAGAGATATTTAAAGGCTTCTAAACTCTAGCACCCTGTGTCTACATATGTTGACAATACTACAAGACTCTAAATCCACGCAAGATTATGCCATTTTGTTAAATGGGTTAGGGTTTTGCAGCTTGCACGATGATTCGTCCCCTCAAAAGCAAGTTGTTTGTTTCAATATTAGATCAAAAGGAACCAAGAAGGCCCTAAATGGAAACATTGTTGAACAAATTAATTTAATAAGGCCACATGCAATCTCAAAGAGCTTGAATGGTAACATTGTTTAACAGATTAATTCAATAAGGCTTGATGTAATCTTCTAGATATACTTGAATGGTAACATTGTTTAACAAATTCATTCAATAAGGCCAGATGCAATCTTCTGAAAATACTGGCTAAGTTTTTTTTCAATCAACTCACCCTAAAACAAAATCGCGTTTCTGTTATGGCGAGGTATTAGCGTCGTTTGACAGCAACTGACGTCACTGTACTAGACGGAGGTCGTTTCCTTTTGCAGTGGCGCTCTGGCGTGTGTTACTGGACGGAGTTTGGGCACGAAAATGATCTCCCCCAGATATCGAAACAGTGAGGTGCCGAGCCACCCAGAACGTGGTTTTGGCTCGGCAGAAAATAACAAAAGCGGTTGCGCACTGTTTCTCTGTGTGCAGCAGCAGTGGTTGGGATGCGCAGTGACTGACACGTGGATAAACGTGGAGCCGAGTTCTGTCCCAGCCCAATAAGTCTTCTTCCTGGGCGTCGAAACCTGGGAAACTCTGTGCAGGTAGAGATGAAGCTCCCTAGAAAGCGCAGGGTCGGAAGTACCCCTTCCGAAATAACTAAAAACCCGCGGAATTTAGCAAAGCTCTCCAGTTCAACAACATTTCCAGCAGTGATCCGTACACAGCTGTGTGTGTCTTTCTTGCTTGCGCACAATGGTGGGTTGATTAGTAAAGTAGGAGTTTCCAAATCGGTTGTGTGCGTTTTTGCTATGATCTGATCGATTTGAGGCTGTACACCTGGCGACAAGCTCCAGCAGTTGCGCGGAGCGCGCCCGTGACGTGGAGCGAGCTGTCCTGGTTCCGTGTCGTCTCGTGTCGTTTCGTGTGATTCGTGACGTGAACCGCGAGACATGGAACCCACCTGGAGTCACGCCGTACGCGAGTCCAGTCAATCCGAGCCGACGAGGGCCGAGAGACGATGTCGACCAGTTTCGTTCAGGCCTCGCAGTCCATTCGCGTGTCGCAACACGGGCACCCAGCAGGTTACACGTTACACAGCACGAAGTGTACAGTGCTACCCAAGCAGTGCACAAATCTAGCACGCACTGTACATTTCCAAGTGTACAGCTGATGCTCACCCCATGCACGCGAATTTGCCTTGCGCCGGATGGATACGCTGCACCCGAGGTTGTTTCCCCAGCTTCATGCACCTACATTACAAGCGCGTCGCGTGGTTATCAACCAGTAGTAACGAATAGACCGACGTCAAACGAGGTACAGACCGAAGTCAAGCAGAGGAGACTGAAGTCAAACTAGGTTACAGATCTTGTTTATAAGCACATGCGAATCATTTTTAGCTAGCTGCGAATTGCCGAAACTTATGCGAAATGCTCGTGACAGCTTATACGCCCCCTTCGTAAGGCAACCGGGAGGGGCTCAAACAGGCATCAGGTGTACTGTAGTTTCTTCCCTCCCTCCCACCCACTCCTCTCCCACCCCTCCCTCCCCTCCCGCCCGCTTCCACTCCACCCTCGTATCGATGCACACAGCGCATATCATCCCTCCACACATATGTCGTGCTACTATCATCTGCTACACGTGAAGTTCTGCCTCCTTCGATCCGCATGCATCGGCGCTCCGTAAGCATGTGTCGCCACTCCCCCCCCACCGTCACCAGTAACAACTGACTCCCACCACTAATTGCATGTCTTATTTTCGAATCGCAGAACGTCGCATTGTTTTCCAAAAATGGGTCGCAACAGCTCGAGTAGCGGAAATGCCAGCGTCGGGAGCCCTGGCACTAACCCTACCAACGGACCGCCACGAACCACGGGCCGGCAGGGCCGTCACAAGCACAGCTACAGCATGGACTATTCAACAGCCTCTCCTCTCGCGCTTCCGCCGTCTGGTCCTAAGCCTAGGTCGCAGAGCAACAGCCCGGGTGACAATGGCGGCTACCGCGGTGGCGGCGGCGGCGGGAGCAGGCAGTCGCCTCTCTCCGGCGCGACTGCTCACATTGGCGGCGGAAGCGCGAAGAAATCTTCCTCGTGGATGCCGCATCTTAGTCCGCGGTTCCTGTGCTCCGCGGGAATGCCGCCGGAACTTCAAAACGGCTATTTCGGCCATTTGGATCTCGGCGACGACGACGACGATGATGACGAAATTCACGGCGGCGAATTGGGTAACCGGTCGCGTAGTGAAGTCCTCTACAGGTCCCGTCCCGTCGCAGACGCCGTTGATGTTAGCTGCAGCCGCGGCGGCGGGTACTCCCGCGCGAAGACCGAGATTCCGCGGAACGCGCGAGCCAGAGCCGCAGCCGCAGCCGCCGTCTCCTCCCGCGCGCCTGCGCCCCGAAGCTGCGCCACAGACGCAGGGAGGGGAGGCAGCGGCGGCGGCGCGGCCAGCGCTGGCGCAGCGGCGGGGCTCGGCGCGCAGCAGCAGGAGGCGGCGGACGCCGCCGAGGAGGAAAACGAGGCGCAGTTTGGCAGAGCGAGCTCTATGCCTGCCTCTATGCACCGGCGACGGAGATCCCTAGGCGGGGGTCTGGTCTCCCTAGGGTCTGGCGGCCTGAACTCCTTAGGATCCCCCGGTGCTCCTAACGGTCTTGCTTCGTGCTTGCAGCCTAGATCGTCGGATATGGACGAGGACACTAAGATCCGCTTTACAGAAGGACCCGCTATAAGTTCTAGGTCGAGCTCTGGAAGGATCGGCGGGGTTGTGGACGGGTCGCTAACCTCTGGTGATGATAGTGGTCAGTTTGGTAGCGGTAGGTTCGGTAGTGGCCGCTTTGGTAGTGCGAGGCTTGGTAGTCATAGGCTCGGCAGTGGTAGGCTCGGTAGTGGCAGGTTTGGTGATGATCGATTGTCAACCGACTCTCCCTCTGGCGGTAGGGAGAATGTCAAGGGTGGGGCACCGAATTCGAAAGTTCGCCGAAGCTATTCTGGAGCTTCGGATAGCTCTAGTAGGCTCGTTGACAGGCCTGGGGACATAACAAGAGAGGCGTTTCCGGATAGGCAGGTTGAGAGGCTGATGGAAGAACAAACCTCAAACAATATCGCGTACAAAGGAAGAGGCTCGCAATCAGGACCGTTGATGCCCCGAGAGTCTCTGCAAATAGACGGCTGCGATCGATCAGGGTCTGAACGCATAGAGGAGCCTTCCTCTCACCCGCCGCGGAGACCTACAGGTGCAGCAGAGCGGCTCAAGTCTCGCAGTTTCATTGGACGGAGCTTTTCCGGTGGGGGTATGGAATCCGTAGCTGCTTCTGCTACTGCTTCTGTAGCTGTTGCTGCTTCGGCGTCTAGCATTGAGTCAGGTAGAAAAGCAGGTGCTGCTGCACAGAGGCTTAAGTCCAGCAGCTTCATTGGGCGGAGTTTTTCTGGGGGGGGTGTGGAGTCTGCATCTGCTTCTGCAGCTGCTGCGGCGGCGTCTATCCGCGCTGCATTACGGGCGTCCGTGCTTAGAAGCTCGTCAGGAGTGGGGAAGGCGAGCCAGGGGGGAGAGAGACAGGAGGGGGAGGGACAGGGGGGAGAGGGACAAAAGGGGCAGACAGGCGGGGGGCAGAAAGGTGGGAGGGTTGATGGCGCGGGACGGAAAGGGTCGGGTCGATGGTTGATTGCGAAGAGCTTTTCAGGCAGCCGTGCTCGCACAGATGATGCTGCTGCTACCGCTGGTGGTGGGATTCGGGTGGATAAGTCACTTTCGGCCAGGATGGGATGTAAGGATGCGGAGGAGGTGGAGAAGAAGGAGGGATTCGGAGTGTGTGGCAGGGAAAGCAGGGACGGTTGCAGGAGAGGAGAGGTGGAGGAAGAATATGGGTTTGATGGAAAGGAGAGTGCAGACAGTGAGGAGGGGAGTGAGAAAGTGGAAGCGAGGGAGGAAGAGGAGGAAGACGGGGAAGACGGGGAAGAGGAGGAGAGCGAGGGAGTAGCTGTAGGGAGAGGGTTGTGGGAGGATTATAACGAGGGTGGAGCTTTGAGAGCCGAGATGAGCTTACGAGACAGTGGTTGGTCGGCACAGCAAGGAGAACACCGAGCAGAGGATCGGATAAAGCACCCCGGCAGCAGGTTGATTTCAATGAACCGAGATGAGGAGGATGACGGAGATGAAGAACGGGAGACAGACGAAGGAGAGGAGGGAGAGGAGGGAGAGGATGGAGAGGAGGAAGTGGAGGAGGGAGAGGAGGAGAGGGAGGAAGAGGAGGTCGAGAGGCAAGGCTTCATCTTGAGCAGCGGAGGTGTGGAAGTGGAAGGTTCTGGGTGGCGAGAAGGGGGTTTCCAGGAATCTTCTGTGCCAGTGCAAGGTTCAGAACCTGGTGACACATATGAACGAAGCTTCCAGGAAGATGAGGATGAAGGAGAGCGGGTTGGGATGGGAAAGAGGGGCTGGATGGGAGCTCCGTCCTTCAACCCCCCCAATGGAGTGCTTGAAACGTCCCAGCAGCAAAGAGGGCTTATAGGAGCTCCATCCCTCAACCCGGACACAGAATTTGAAACGCCGCAGAAAAGGGTTTTGATAGGAGCTCCCTCACTCAATCCTGACGCAGCTTTTGAGGTGCCTCAACCGAGGGAGCTGATTGGAGCCCCGTCCCTTAACCCTGACGCCGGCTCTCAGGCGTTTTGGGCGTGTTTGAAGGAGGGGAGAGGGGCGGATGTGTGGGATAGGGAGGCGGAGACGATTGCTGAGGAAGGGGATGGGGGAGAGGGAGGGGAAGGGGAAGGGGAAGAGGATGGGGAGGGGGAGGAGGGGGGTGGTGCGAGTGGTGTGTTTGATCTAGCGCAAGGGCTGACGATGCAGGGAGAGGGAGGAGGTGTGGAAGAAATCACTTTTGAGAATTCTCAAAAGGGGGGAGGTGTGGAAGAAGAAGGGGGTTTCGGTTTTGATGTGGGGGAAAGGGTCAGGTTTGAAGACAGGTTTGAAGACCGAGAAGCAGAGAGGGAGGAAGGCAACTGGGAGGGAGCAGGAGCAGGGGATGAGGGCAACTGGAACGAGGGTGGTGGCAGCAGCAGGGTGGGGCAAGAAATGGGTGGTGGTGGTGGTCCGTGGAAGTCAGTGCGAGAAGCAGAGAGGGAAATGGATTCGGTATGCAGCAGCAGCAGCACTGCAATGCTCTTCAGAGGGAATCAGAGCCTGGGAGGGCCCGGAGTCCCAGGAGAGCTTTGTGATGAGGAGAATGAAAACGGGGAGTTTCAAGAAGGCGAGGTTCGACCAGACTTGTGGGGAAGGGCTGCAAGGGTTGAAAGCAGAAGTTCTTCCCGGGAGAAGAGCAGCAGCAGCTTTCAGGCGTCGCCTGGTAGGCTCCTGTACTCTGCTTCTGTTCAAGAGCAGCGCTCCGCCATCAACGGCAATGGCTTTGGTAACGGCTTTGGCAACGGCAGCAGTATCTTTGGCACCAGCAGCAGCGTTGGCAGTAGTGACATCGGCAGAAGCAGCATCGGCGGCGTCGGCAGCAGCAGCAGCCGCTTTGGCCCCCGTGGGTTTGCAGGAGAGCGAGACATCGGGTCGTTTGCTGACGTGGACAGCGACGCCATGGCACGGCTGGCGCATGACGCAGCATCCCTGCTGGCGCTCGATCTAACCACAGACGACCTATCTGCACCCCCTCCCACCTCCTCCTCTCGCCCCAGCAGCCCGTTTTCCGGCCCGCTTTCCGGCCTGCTCCGCCGGTCCAAAACCCCCCCTCGCTCGCCAAACCAGACCCCCCCACGCACCCCCCCGCGCTCCCCCTCCCACACCCCCACCCACACGCCTCCTCGCACCCCCCCGGGCGGGGTCAGTCCGAACCGGTTCTTAGATAAGTGCAGGAGCGCGAGACTCGACCGCCCGAGCAGTCCTCTCAGGTTTGACCGGCCTGGGAGTCCGCTGAAGGGGGTGTGGGGTGTGTTGACGGGCCAGGGCGACGGAGGGAGAAACGGGTGGGAGCGGATTGATGTCGATGCTGTTGTGGCTAGTGCTGCTGCAGCTGCTTCTTCTGTGGGAGGTGGTGGTGGTGGGGGTGTGAGTGATAGGTTTGTGCTGACAAGAGCAAAGACTGATAGCAGGGGGATGGATGATGGGGATGGAGCGGGGTTTGGCGGCGGGTTGTGGGGAGGGAGAGGGATGGGGATGGGAGGGGGAGCGGAAGTTACTGCTGCTTGGGGTGAGAGGGTGGGCATGTCATTATCGCCTATGGGGGGAGGTGCAGAGGAAGGAGGGTGGTTTGAAGGAGGAGGTGGCGGGGGGGTTGAAGGGAACTTGTTAGAAGGAGAAGGAGCAGCAGTCACGGCAGTAGAAGCAGGACTAGGGGGTACAGTTAGGAGAGGAGGAGAAGTGTTCGATGACAGAGAAGCAGCAAGAGGAAGAGGGGGAGGAGGAGGAGCAGCAGCAGCTGGAGCAGGGACAAGTACAGCTGCTGCTGTGAGCACAATGAGGGGAGGAGGAGGAGCAGAGGCAGCAGCAGTAGACAAGGAAGCAGCTCTAGAAAACGCGTGGATGATGGCGGAAGGGGAAGAGGAGGAGGAAACTCCAGACTTTGACGATTTCAGCCGCACCCGAACCTTCACATCTGCCATCCTAGCCGGAATCACCAAGAGAGTCACCGGACCTAAGGCTGGGCCTGCCAAGCCTGGATCCACCAGGCCTGGGTTTGCCATGCCTGGGTTTGCGAAGAGGGAAGATCCGGGCAGCAGCAGCAGGGTGATGGATCCGAGGACTGCTAGTGATACGCACAAGGATGGGGTAAAGGAGGGGATTGGAAAGAGATGGGGTTTTCTGGCTTCCAAGCCGAAACCTGGAGAGGAGGGTGGGGGTTCGAAGGGTGCTTCTGGTCTTGAGGCACATGGGTCAGGTAGGTTAGGTGGGTCAGGTAGGTTAGGCGGGTCAGGTAGATTAGGTGGGTCAGGTAGATTAGGTGGGTCAGGTAGGTTAGGCGGGCAGAATGGGAACGAGGAGAAGGAGAAAGAAGGGGGGGGAGTGTTCGGCTCTGCTCATACTCAGCATCACCACCACTCCCGGCAAAAGTCGCAGATTTCGTTCGGGTCTGCTGCTGATTCCGCTCTGCTGTCTGGACTGCCTTCGTTCCTTCGCTCAGTCACTTTCACCTCTGCTGAAGCCCAGGCGCACCACAAGCAGCAGCAGCAGCAGCAGCAGCAGCAGCAGCAGCAGCAGCAGCAGCAAGAAGAGGAGGGGGGGGACGAACAGCTGCAAATGCAGCAGCGGGATGAGTTTCTGGCAGAGCAATCAAGTCATGCAGAGGAGATTGAGAGAGATGGGAGACCGAACGAGTCATGTGAATCGCAGGAACACGCACAGCAGCACCGAGGAGAAGATCAGGAGGAGGTCCGTGAATGTCAGGCGCTTGGGCTTTCAGATCAAACTATTCCGCACCTGTCACAGCAGCAGCAGCAGCAGCAGCAGCAGAGGCCGTGGGGGTCTGCTGTGCGGTGCAGCTCGGTGGAGGAGGGTACGGCACGGAATGCTGCCAGTCAGCAGCACAAGGAAGGCATGTGGGACAACAGTGGGGTGCACGGGAGGAGCAGTGGCAGTGGCAGTGGCAGTGCAGTGGAACGACTGAGAGACGAGGCCGAACGTGCTACTTCCAACCCCTCCGGGAGCAGAAACCTTTCCCGAACGCGCCCTGGTACCAGTGCCTCTTTCTCTGGCCGTATGGGTGCTTCTTCTGCTCCTGGTGCTGCTGCAGATGGTGCTGCTGCTGCTGCTGCTACTGCTGCTGGTGGTAACGGTACAACTACTCCTACTGGTACTGGTCCAACTACCCCCACTGGTGGTGATGCGTCTGGGCCTGCTATCAGCCCTGTTGTCACTCCCCGCATCGCCTACTTCTCGTTTGATAAGTACCGGGAGGCTGTAGCAGGGGGAGGCTCATCTGGGGGAGGTGCATCTGCTGAGGAGCGCGATGCGGAGGGGTACCTGTTGTCTCACTCCTTTGGCAGCGGCAGGGCTAGAAGCAGGAGCAGCTTTAGCGGCCGATATGGCAGCAGCATTGGCAGCGGCGGTGGGAGTGGGAGTTTGACTCCCCCTCCTCGAGCAGCATTGGGGAAAAGCGGCGGCAGCGGTTGCCTGACTCCTCCCTCTGGCGCACTAAGGAAGCATGGCAGCGGCAGCCTGACTCCCCCGCCTGGCACGCTGGGTATGAGTGGCAGTGGCAGCCTGACTCCTCCTGGCAATATGTTTAGTCGCGGTGGCATGGGGAATGGGAGCGTGACCCCTCCGGGCAATATGTTCAGTAGGAGTGGCAGCAGGAGAGGGTTCACTCCGTCAGCAGGGGACGCGTCTAGTCGGAGGCAAGCAGGAGATTGGAATTTACCTGGGGGAAGCAACAACAGCAGCTACAGCACCCACAACACCCACAACACCCACAGCAGCTACAGCTACAACCAGAGGAACGTCTGTGTTCGTAGCCACAGCCATAGCCACAGCCAGCGCGAGCAGGAGGTTCACAGTAGCTCCCACCTGCAGCGAGGGTTTCCCCACGTGCGTGGAGGTGTTGACAGAGTGGCTTCGGACTGTGCGGCCGACAAGAGAGCGAGGGAACGAGAAGCTGATAGATGGAACGAGGCTGAGCAAGGGGATGGGGTGCGAGGGCGAACAGGGTTAGGCCGCATGGGTGGGGAGGGGGAGGGGGTAGTTCTGACTGCTAGTCTCGGGCGGCGAGTTGGGGAAGGGCAAGGGGGCTTGCGTGGGTCGTGGCTGGGGAAGGGTGGTAGGGGCGACAAGGGGGCAGTGCGAGGGGTAGAGGAGGGGGGGGAGGAGGAGGTGGGGGGCTGTGTTTCGGGTGCAAGCAGAGTAGTGGATGCAGCGCCGGGTGGAGCACGGCCAAAGTACGACAGGAAGGCCAGGTCAGTATGGCTAGCATGGCATGCAAGCCTGGGGTCTCGTTTTCACGTTATGGCACTTTTTTGAGTTGACTCAAAAATCGGCTGGCATGCAAGCTTGGGGTCTGGTTTTCACGTTACGGCACTCCACACCCGAGTACCAGCGGCCTTTTGAGTGCTTTCTATGTGTCGCAATACTCACCCACTTTCTGTTTCCTCCCACCAGGAGTCGCACCTTTGGTAATCCAGAAGAGCTTGCAGACCTCTACCCTCCCCCCTGCCGCCTTCGAGCGATCCCACTCCACACCTGAGCGGCGGCGGCCTCTCGATCGCACGGCAACCTCCTGTGCTGCAGCAGGGGCTGGGAGGCCGCCCATCCACCATGCCCATTCCGCCTATCTGGCTGCTCGTTCTGCTTTCCATTTGTGCAACTCCACTGCCTCCCTCTCTCCTCCACCCATCCCCACCACCAGGAGCCGCACCTTTGGCAACCCAGAAGAGCTCTCCGACCTCTACCCTCCCCCCAGTGCCTTCGAGCGATCCCACTCCACACCCGAGCGGCGTCGGCCTCTCGAACGCCCCGCAACCTCCTCTGCTGCAGCAGGGGTTGGGAGGCCCCCCATTTACCACGCCCATTCCGCTTCCCTGGCTGCTCGTTCCCTGGTGAACGGTCATGGGAGTGGTCAGAGGCAGAGAGGGAGCGAGTCAGGGCGGATTGGAGGAGCTTTTGAGTCGACTCAAAAGCTGGTGAATGGTCATGGGAGCGGTCAGAGGCAGAGAGGAGGTGAGTCGGGGCGGATTGGAGGGAGCAGATTGTCTGGGAAACAGCTGCGGAACCAGGGGTGGGACGAGCAGCAGGGGCGGCATGGGGACGGGCGGCATGAGGACGGGCATGTGCAAGAGCAGCGGTATGAGGAGAAGCAATACGAGGAGAGCTATTATCAGCAACAGGTGCAGCAGCAAGTGCGGGAGAGGAAGCAGGTGAAGGGGAAGCGTAAGGAGGCAGGTGCAGCAGGGCTGCATGTGGCGTGGAGACAGTTGGAAGGGGAAGAGGAGGAAGAGTGGGGCAGGCAGAACTCTGATCCTGTAAAAGGTGGCAAGGGGAGGGTGACGGCTGTAAGGAGGCTTGCGGAGGATGAGCAAGAGGGAGAGTGGGGCAGGCAGAACTCAGATCCTGTGACAGGCAGCAGGGGGAGGGTGCAGGCTGTAAGGAGGGAAGTGGAGGAGGAGGAGGATGGAGAGTGGGGACGGCAGCACTCAGATCCTGTCAATGGGAGCAGGGAGAGGGTGAGGGCTGGAAGGAGGCATGTGGAAAATGAGGATGGTGGAGAGGGTGGAGAGGATGGAGAGGATGGAGAGGATGGAGAGGATGGAGAGGATGGAGAGGATGGAGAGGATGGAGAGGATGGAGAGGATGGGGAATGGGGACGGCAGCACTCAGAACCTGTGAAGGGCGGCAGGGAGAGGGTGAAGGCAGGAAGGAGGCACGTGGAGAATGAGGAGGAGGGGGAGTGGGATTCTGTGGAAGGCGGCCGGTCTGTGAATTTGGGATGGAGGCGTGAGGAGGCCGAGGAGGAGGAAGGAGAATGGGCTGAGGAGGACGGGGAGTGGGGCAGGCAGAAACACTGGAATTGTGTGAATGATGGCAGGGAGAGGGTGGAGGCGGGGCAGAGGCAGGTGGAGGAGAGGGAGATGGCTGGATACGGTGGGGATGGTTATGAGGCGAAGGTAGGGGAGGAAGAGGAGGAGGAAGAGGAAGAGGAAGAGGCAGGGGATGGGGAAGAGGTGGAGGAAGAGGAGGAGGATGGAGAGGAGAGGGAGGAGGAGGATGGGGAAGTGGTGGTGGAGAGTGGACGAACGAGATGGTCCAGAGGTCGTGGTACAGGGCCGGGGAAAGGGGCTGGGGTCAAACCTGGGAAAGGGAGATCAGAGACAGGTTCTGGAATCGAGTCTTCTCACAGATGCGACAGTGGAAGGGGGAAGGGCGATGGAATAAACAGTGGGAGTGAGGACGAGGAGGAGCAAGGGGAAAGGAACTTTTCTTATGAGAACGAACATGCACGCGGAAGGGGGGGAGGAGAGAGGGGGTGGAATGGAGGCCGTGATGGTTATGGGAAGAGGCGGCAGCAATGGCATGACAGTCAAGAACAGAATGAGGAGGAAGGGGAGAGCGTAGAGGAGGAGGGAGAGGGGGAAGGGAGTGTTAACGAGGATAGTAAGGAGTGGAGTGAGTGCGAGGATAGTGAGATGGGGAACGGGGATGGTGAAGGGAATGGGGAAGTGGTGAATGGAGATGAGGAGGAGGGTGCACATCATGCAGAACGCCGAGGCATAAATAGAGTGCACAGGGGAAGGTGTGAGGAGGAAAGTGAGGAACGGTACAGAGGCAGAGGTGCGGATAGGAAGAAGCAGTCGCAGGGGATGAATGGTCGGGAGAAGCAGTATGCACGGGGGTACGAGGAGAGGCATAACAGAGAAGAACGAGACATGCACAGCAGGTTCAAAGATGAGGAAGATGAAGTTTATGGAAAAAATGGGGAAGACGGAGTATGTGGGACAGATGTGTACAATAGGGGCTATGGGGATCCAGGGGAAGGAGGGGGGGGGGGAGATGAGGGCGGATATGGGAAGGGCCGCTCTAAGAGAGTGGAGCACGCTCACCAGGAGGGTGAGAGGGGTACAGCAAGGGGTAGTGGTGCATGCCACTCCCGCACTTCCAGCTGGTTGGACCAGAAGAGTCAAGAGGGCGAGACAAGTGCAGCAAGGGGTGGTGGTAGTGGTAGTGGTAGTGGTGCACGCCACTCCCGCACTTCCAGCTGGTTGGACCAGAAGAGCCACTCTCACCGGCCCGGTCGATAGCGGCAGCAGCAGCAGCGGCGGCGGCAGCAGGAGGGAAGCATGCTCACCAGGAGAGCGAGAGAAATGCAGCAAAGGGTGGTGGACATGGTAGTGGTGCATGCCACCTCGGCACTTCCAGCTGGTTGGATCAGAAGAGCCGCTTTCGCCGGCCTGGGCAATAGCAGGATGAGCTGGAGAGCAGAGCCATCCACTAACTCTTGTGCTCGTTCCGACCGTCAATAAAACCAATGTTTCCAGCAGCAGCTTCTCGAGGCGTCCATGCCTCTCTGGGTACGTTACTTCTAACAGGCCCAGCTTGATTTATGCTATTGATGCTTGGTGGTGCACAAGCATGCTCCGAGCATCTTGCACATGGTGTTGTATTTATTGGTTGTTGTAAGGATGTGGCCTGATGGTGTCTATCAGGGGATCATTCCTGCCCCTGGCACACACTGCCATTACAGTGTACATATGGTATATATCCATATACGGTATTGATTATACGGTAGCTTGGCCTCCTTGCTCTGTAGGGATCTCCAACCTGCATTGGCAGAAACCAGAACATCAACGGTGCTTCGCTAGCAGACTCATTATCCACGTGCTCTCTTAATGTCAATTCATGTCATGTTCTCTTGGGTTAACAGCACCAGTACTACCGTACCTGGCCATGGGTCGGTCCCCTTCATGGCATCCGGTTGAGTTGGGCTGTGTTTTCTGCAACTACCGTAGCTTATTTCAGAGACGTCACGTCTGGGCTTGTATCAATCAGCCACTGCCAGCCAGGTTTCAAGTGTCAGATGAGTGCACAGTTGAAAGGATGGAGCGATGGCCACAACCACAAGCCACTAAGGTGCCGGTGGTGGTTGACTCAAACTATCTTGATACACTGTACCAGTAACATTGCTGTATTAAGTTATGTAATGCCACCACCATTTCCAGCCAGCCGTGAAGATGAATAGAGCCTTTCAGAATCACCCAGGACACAATGACATTAATGCACCCTGCAATGGTGAGCTCCAGAGAAGCAAGAAAGATGCGTAAAAGTGAAGAAAATGTTACACCGAGAAACTGTAATGAACCTGAGACTTTCCTTCCTTCAAGGCTATCTACAAGAACCTGGGCAGAGCACCAGCAAGCCAGTATGCCGTCATCATGCCCGGAGGCCTCGCATCAATGCTGCCACATTGTTAACCTCTGGCGCTGGAGATGCAACGTCTTCCATCCTGCAATTGACCAGTTGAAATGGCATTAGCATGGCAGATGCTGGTTCGCGAAGGTTTACCAGTATTTCACAAAGCACATCAGGGACTGTACCATGCATTGCGGAGGCGTTACCTTTGCTTGAGGAGCTGCTGCCTTGTCAGGACATTTGTCTGTTGTGTGTGATGACCCCATGGATGATTGCAGTTGCACACCTGATGATTCACAAAAAGCAAGGCATGGAGGCAGAGGAGCTAAGGATTTAGGGCTATGTCGACGGTCAAGCTGACTTGATTCGAGAAGAATTGCACTCTCTCTCTCTCTCTCTCTCTCTCTCTCTCTCTCTCTCTCTCTCTCTCTCTCTCTCTCTCTCTCTCTCCCTCCCTCCCTCTCTCTCTCTCTCTCTCTCTCTCTCTCTCTCTCTCTCTCTCTCTCTCTCTCTCTCTCTCTCTCTCTTTCTCTCTCTCCCACCCATGGCAATGCGCAGGATGGCACACTAGACACCTTCCTTCATGCATTAAAAATGTATGGTCAGCCACGCATGTCACACCTGGGTCCTGTGAGTAATCCTTTACCATATTCCTCTACTGAGTCACGCATGGGTGTGACCATCATGCTTCATCTGCGCATGCAAGGTGCAAGCTCACTTACCCATGGGCTATCGAACTTGTCGCAAGAGCATTTTGGCCGGATGCATTTGTGCGATGTTGGCTCGTGTTCCACATGCTTATGCTGCGTGATAGATCGACAGAATGAAGGAAATAGAAAAAGGGTGACAAAATAGAAACGAAGAATCTGTAAAATTCTCACGACTGCCAGTCACTGTCGAGGGCGCCTCCATATAGCCAAGATGTTTGATCAGGGTTTTGAATTTTCCTTCAGCAGCAGGATTTTATGGTTAACATGCAGAAGCTGGGTTCAGCAAGGCCAGGGAACGATTACGGCGTGAATGACTGAAAGCGAAACCAGAAAGGAAGAAACCATGCATCTGCAGTAAACAGATTCTGAGACGATTTAAAAGGCATTACAATCGAACGTACAGATGCATAAATGCACGAATGCATGAAAGATGACAAGCACGCACCTTGCATCTGCAACGAAGGATCCAGACGCCTTGAGCAGGAATGAAGAAGAAACTCTTGCATGCACATTTGGCTCGTCCGCAGACCAGCTGAAATTCACCACAATGCGACGAAGACGACGACGACGAGGAGGAGCCTGAATGCGAATCGCTCGGCGGTCCAACCAGGGAGTCCGAATATTGCGATTCCGGGTTCTCAGACAGCCGTGAGTCGGTCAATTTTTCCGCAGCTATTGTTTCAGGAGAGCTTCGCTGAGTAGTAAGCGGTTTCAGACGATGCTCTCGAAGCCTGTGGCCGCAGATACATTGGGATTCGTCTCGAACTGGCAGACAGCTGCGGTCGCAATCTGAGGTTGGCAATAAGAAATGTTGGGAATACAGTAAAGTCCGGACGGAGTCACATGATGGTGGTTAGTGACCACGCTGAGTTAAGTTCACATCTGCTAAAGACGAAAAGAAAATGAAATAACTCTAGAAACAAAGTGAAGCCCCGGTAAGCTCTAGATGTCGAACGCATACCACGGCAAGTCCACGTGACCTTAGCCTTGAGGCCGGCGTCCTTGCCATCCCTGCTAAAGGATTCCACGCCAGCAGGCTGCTTTTCAGATTCTACACGACTTTCAAATTCAGTAGCCTCTGTCTCTATTGGTCCGGCTAAGTCGTGTGCTTGATCACTCGTGACCATGATCCTGATAAGCTAAGCAACGGAGATTCAGCAAGTGGTGCTTGGCAACGTCTCGGCTTACCGTGCCGAATCGTGGTGTTGAAACTTATCTCAGAAGTTGCTGCAGGAATGCGAATGGAAGCAGGACTTTCTGCAAAGCACTTGGAAGTGCTCAACTGTGAACGCTGTGGAGTGAAAGTTTGAAAGAAAATACCTCGAGAAATACGACGCAGACACAGAACGACATAGGATTTGGGAGTTCACTTCACAGCCTTCTGACATCCGAATGTCGCGGTTTGTCAGAAGCTCTTATGGCGGATATGTTTAGAAATATCACGAATGTTTCGTGAAAATCGATTATCTTCTTCCAAACGATCTGTAGCACCAACTCTGAAACTGGACAAAATGACAAGAACTCAAATCAGCAGCTCTAACTTCAAAGGCCCGTCTGTACTGATTTTTTTTACCTCTAATTAATGTTTAAAAAACAATGCTACAGACCTACCTTCGATACCCAGACCCATCCCTTGAGACTCGGTCACCATACCCACGAGGACTAGGCTCATGACGATCACCAGCACCACCCCCCCTCCAATCCCTCCCACCAGCACCACCAGACCTCCAGTCCCCCCCACCAGCACCACCAGACCTCCAATCCCCCCCACCAGCGCCACCAGACCTCCAATCCCCCCCACCAGCGCCACCAGACCTCCAATCCCCCCCACCAGCAGCACCATCCCCCCTCCAATCCCCACCACCAGCACCACCTCCTGACATCCATCGATCACCATCATCAATCACCCTACCCGCGAAGGCACCACCAGCCGCTGATACCATGCCACCAACCAATCCCATCGCACCAACCGGACCACCAGCAACACCACCAGCAGCACCAGCAACACCAAAGCCACCAGCACCACCAGCAGCAGCACCAGCAGCACCAGCTGCGTTTTTCTCAGCATTTTCCAGCTCTCGTACAGCCGCTCTCCCTGCTTGCTCCAGCAGCCTCACAGCACACCCCACCACTCGCCTCTCATTGGCCGGCCGCGGCCCGCCCGCCACCCACCTCCCCAGAATCGAATCCAGCACCGCCCGCAGCTGCACCAGCAGTTCTCCCACGTGCCGATCCACCACAAACTCGATCCAACGGTCCACAATGAGCAGAACCGGCTGAGATGCCAATGAGGAGGAGGGATGAAACCCATAGGTAGCAGCAACAGAAGCAGCAGCACCATACGGGTTGCCAGAGGGAAAAGCCCCTCCCAGGGGTAGAAACGGAGTCGGGGTAGGGGCAAGCTGGACAGGACCTCCAAAGAGGATGATAGAGAGAGCTGGAATGAGGGTGCAGCCACGGATAAACACCTGCGAAGTCTGCACCCGCTCGTTGAACGTCAGAAAATGCACCCCCCCGTCGTCCAATGCCTTGCCCTGCTGCGGTATCACCCCCGTAGGATGAATCCACACCCGGCCCTCCGAGGTTCGGAACCCGAACCTCAGCCGGACCTTCTGCTTCCCGCTGCTGCTGCTGCTGCCGGTGCCGCCTCGGGCTTCTGGGAGCATGTCAGAGCGGGCTATATGAGGAGACAGACCCGCCACAAGCACGGAACGAGCGATGAAGAGTGATGACTCGTCGGTTTCATCAATGTGCGGTTCAGATGCAGCAGCATTGGCTCTGTTTGAACCGGAAGGGTAATCTCGGCCATCCATCTGCTCGTCCATGCGCTCATCTGCCACTCGCACATCCCATTTTGACCTGTGCCGCCGACCCTCACTCTCCCTCTCCCTCTCCTGCTCTCTGTCCCTCTCCTTCTCCCTGTCGCGATCCCGATCCCTATCCCTGTCGTTGTCCCTTCCCCTGTACCTGTCTTTGTCTCTCTCCCTGTCCCTTACCCCATCCCTGTCTCTATCTCTATCCCGCTCTCTCTCCCTGTCCCGATCCCTCTCCCTGTCCCTATCCTTGTCTCTGTCCCGCTCCCTATCTCTGTCCCGATCCGGGCCCCTCTCCTCCCTGTCCCTCCAGTTATCCCTGCTACCACCAGCAGCACCCCTGGAATCACTCAGCTGCGTGGAGCCAGTGCGGGCGTCGATGCGAGTCACATGCCGGATGTCTGGCCTACCACTCAGTGAAGATACCCCACCACCAGCACCCCCAGCAGCTCCACCAGAAGCAGCAGCAGCAGCAGCAGCAGCAGCAGCACCACCACCACCACCACCGCCGCCACCGCCACCAGCACTGCCAGCTGCAGTACCATCATCACCACCATCAACGCCAGACTCTCTCTTTACCCCTCGTCCCCCTCCACCCCCTGACTCCTTCCCCTGCCCCACCATGCCCCTTGCACCAGCACCCTGCGTCTGAACCTTAGGCGGCAGATCAGCATCAAGAGACTCTCCTAATCGAGCCAACCCAGCCCCCCACAGCATCCTTTCAATCTGCATCTTCAGCCCCAGCATAAGCCGCATGCCGGACGGCGCCAGAAAATTCTCATCGCAGTAACCCATCGCCCGCCCCTCAGCGTTTGCTCTCATCCACCCCTCATGCGCCATCACCACCGCCAGATGGTCGCTGCCCGCCGCCGAGCCTGTCGCGAAGGCTCGGCGCGCAGCATCAGCGGCGTTGCGGTTGGTGATGGGGGAGAGGAACGGGTCGCGAGAGAGGGAAGCGGCCGCAGCAACAGAGAGTAAAGGAGAGAGGCAGTGGAGCAGGGAGCCATACACCAACATCTTGCCGATCCGAGGGTGGACAGCAAGCCGGCTGAGGGTCGATCCAAGGGCTGTGAGCTCTTCATCTTCATCCAACGCCCCCAGCCTCTGGAGATTCTCGATGGCATGGCGAACAGCAAAGGGATCCGGGGGAGAGAGGGCCTTGGCGAGAAAGAGACCGATGTTGGTGCTGCGATGGGCGGTGGCGGAGGAGGGGTAGGGGGAGGAGGAGGGGTAGGAGGTGATGGCGGCTGCGAGGGGAAGGGGTTTGATTTGCAGGCAGATTTCTTCCAGCGGCACTCGCTGCATCTCAGGCACTGAGTTGGGGGCCATGGCCTCGTACACCTGCAAATTGGAGGGGACGGGATCAACGGAAGAGAGGCGATAAAATTGAATCGACTGCCTAAGAGCCAAGTACAAAAAGCCTAGACGTAGAAAACACCTGGAATCAGGAAATGGTTGGAAGCAGGAACCTGGTGGTCTCACCGTGCGAGTGAAGAGGCGGAAGCATTTCCCGGGGCGCACGCGACCAGCTCGGCCCTGCCTCTGCTTCACACTCGCCTTGGACGCCCACTGCAGACCGAGGAGGGAGATGACACAGGCGGCATGAAGCAGGTGGCAAACAGGTGAACGAAGAATGACCAAACATGTATCATCCTACAGTTGTCTTTGGACAAGGGAAGCAACCACTGCGGAAACAACATATGGAGCACTCAACTGCACCTGGTTTTACTCTTGTAGAAGTAACCCGTCGGCCGCTCACCTGCACGAGCATGGAGGAGATGTTCCTTGCTGGCTCCAAGTACTTTTCCTTGGACTGGCCTTGTGATTTGCTGTACCCACCTCACCTGCACGTTTTGCTAGTGTCATGCAGACCTCACCTGCACGTTTTGCTAGTGTCATGCAGACCTCACCTGCACGTTTTGCTAGTGTCATGCAGACCTCACCTGCACGTTTTGCTAGTGTCATGCAGACCTCACCTGCACGTTTTGCTAGTGTCATGCAGACCTCACCTGCACGTTTTGCTAGTGTCATGCAGACCTCACCTGCACGTGTTGCCAGTACTGCCCACCTGCACGCGCATGGAGGAGATGTTCCTGGCGGGCTCGAAGTACTTCTCCTTGGACTTGCCGCCATCCACCACAAACACCACGTCGTCTATCGTCACACTCGTCTCCGCTATGTTGGTCGATAGAATCACCTGTAAAGGAGGAGGAGGAGGAGGAGGAGGAGGAGGAGGAGGAGGAGGAGGAGGAGGAGGAGGAGGAGGAGGAGGAGGAGGAGGAGGAGGAGGAGGAGGAGGGACCAGGAGGAGACACGGAGAGATTTCAAGGTGGGGACACTGAGAGATGATGAAGGGATGGAAAAATGGATAGAGCGAAAATACACAGGGTACCAGCCGGACAGCTTTTTACAGCCATGACTATCCCTTCCGCCACTATCACTGTCACATCCACCATCACGCTATGCTGCTGTCATGCCTCACCTTGCGCTTCCCCTCTGGAGGGCGGTCAAAGGCTGCTCTCTGCTCCGCTGGTGGCACCTGCATGACGTTCAAAGGCATTCAGAGAGGTTCAGAGGTATTCCAAGGTTCTCAAGATGGGCACAAATATATATATATATATATACATATATATATATAAAAAAAAGACAGGGAAAATTGAGCTGCTGGCACATGAACTAGGTGGCACATGAGCTAGGTGGCACACGATAGACAGGAACGCCAGGGCCCAGGAACGTGGAAAGGCACGGTGTGACTCACCTGGGAGTGCAGCATGACGATGTGGAAGCGGTATGATCTCGGGAGGAACTGCAGCTGTCACTTTTGAGACGTGGCAAAGGTAGTGTACAACACTACCGAACAATGTCTAGAATGTCTCAACACTACCTCACCTGCGAGTGCAGCATAACGATGTGGAAGCGGTATGATCCCGGGAGGAACTGCAGCTGGCGCTTGGCTTCTGCTATCGTGTCCCACCCCTGCACATGCGGACAGCAGTCACATTGTGCCATGGCATGGCGTGGCAAGATGAGACGCGCACATAATATCCGTGTGGTCCCCAGTCGCTTTCCCCAGTCACTTTCCCCAGTCACTTACGCTTTGGTAGACTGGCCAGTGTGGACTCCCATGCCCCACCTCATCCACCCGCGGCACCGAGAAACGTTCCCATCAAAGAGAAGGCTCTTGGCCTACAGATTTAGGTCCCTCGGGAGGATTACTCAGCGACAGGAAGCAGAGGATCGATCCGTCCTCCCTCGCACACTCATCATCCACCCACACCACGCCACCCATGCTATCAGGGAACTTGTGCATCAGGGATGCTTGTCTTTTGAGAATTCTCGAGATGAAGCTCTCTCAAGCAGCAAGTCTCTCAGAAACCAGCTTTACTCACGCGAAGGAAGCAGAGGATCGACCCGTCTTCCCTCGCACACTCATCATCCACCCATGCCATGCCCCTTGCCGCCAGCTTGGTATGTGCAAGGTTACTCAAGGATAGGAAGTGAAAAGCAACATTACTCACCGGCAGGAAGCAGAGAATCGACCCGTCCTCCCTCGCATACTCATCATCCACCCATGCCACGACCCTCGCTGCCAGCTCAGCATCGAGCTCGTCCTCGTCAGCACAGCCGTACTTTGGTTGCAGCGCTTGCCGTACCACCGATGGCACGTGGCGGCCCATGAGATAAGGAAGATCGTCGAGCGAGTGGACTGAGACCGGGTGGATGAAGCCGGGGATTGTGAGCATGGGGCAGTGGTGGAAGTAGCTGGGTGGGGGAAAAATTGGGGAGAGGGGGGGAGAGGAGATGGGGCAACAGCGAAGGGGAAGGGGCGAGGAAAGAAGGGGGTTGAAAATAAGCAGGAGGGGTTGGGAGGAGTGGATGGATGGGGGCAGAGCGAGCACGGCGCTTTTAAGAATTCTCAAAAGCGAAAATAAGCAGGAGGGGTTGGAGGGGTTGGAGGGGGGGGAGGGGTTGGAGGGGTTGGAGGGGTTGGAGGGGGTGCAGGGGTTGGGAGGAGTGGGTGGATGGGGGCAGAGCGAGCACGGCAGGACAGGCCGTGGGGGGTAGTGCATGTCGCAGCACCAATGGCACGTGACGGCCCATGAGGGAGGGGAGGTTGTCGAGTGAGTGGACTGAGACAGGGTGGATGAACCGGGGATGGCGAGCATGGGGCAGTGGTGGAAATAGCTGGGTGCGGAATGGTAAGAGCAATGGCAAAGGGGACACGCCGGGAGGAGAATGGGGCTGCATAATAAGCAAGAAGGTGGGTGGGAGGCGTGAAGGGGCCGGGGGATGGAGAGTGGCAAGCAGGGCATGGGGGTTCACCAGAGTCAGTGTATTTTGAGAGAGGCGAGAAAAAAGAAAAAAAAAAGAAGATGACTAGAAGACAGGAGACAGAGAATGTTACTTGTAGGAAAACTGAGGGACGAGAGTGGAAGGAAGGAGGGTGTGCAAGGGGGGTTCCCCTTTCGTTCCCCCCTTATAGGATTAGCGAGTGCAAGGGGGGAACGAAAAGGGTGCATTCAACTCGCCTCAGAGACAACGACCGCGACGATGTAACTTTTGAATCGACCCAAAACTTGGAACAAAATGCGAGCATGCAAATCTACAAAGATGACGACAAGCAGATGATGGAAAGGGTGCGTGCACATCCACATAGACAATGATGGCAGGAACAACAAGTGCGACATAGACAATGATGGCAGGAACAACAAGTGCGACATAGACAATGATGGCAGGAACAACAAGTGCGACATAGACAATGATGACAGGAACAACAAGTGCGACGGGAAGGGTGCAGCATACAGCCATGTGCCCATGTTTTGAGGCGCAGCGCAACAGACACGCAATGCCGTACCACCAGCCCGCTCACTCGTCTCGATTTAAATAGTTGGACGCGCAGCAGCCACCTCCTTCCTCTCATCCAACTTCTTGGCTCAAGAGGCTCAGCAGCAGCAGGAGGCGGAATGGGCGGCAGCAGTGGCAACAGGTGGCAGCAGGTGGCAGCAGATGGGAGCAAGTAGAAGCAGCAATATTTCTTCAAGAAAGAAGACGCAGCCAAAGCAGCTGCGGCACCACCTGCTGCCACCCCTGCTGCGACTGCTGGTGCCAATGCCTCTGCCACTGCTGCTGAGCCTCTGATTGGCAGGCCCGCTTGGAGCAGGTGAGAGGAAGGAGGCTGCTGCTGCCGGCGAGTGAGATCGAGAAAAGACGAGTGAGCGAGCTGGTGTCATGCAGGGGGCAAGGAAAAGGGGTGGTAGGAGGAGAAAGCTTACGAGGCTGACTGGAGTAAGCAGAATTGTGGTATCAAGGATGAATTGTCTTTGAGGATGAAGGATGAAGCAGCAAGGGACGGAACAGGACAGCTAAGAAAGAACCCTCTTTCAAGGAGCAGACATGGCTTCCAAGTTTGACCCCATTGCCATAAATTGCCCCAATCCTCCACTCCATTCCGCCTTATTGCCCCACCCTCTCGGTCAATTACAAATTTATCATTGTTGATAATGACGATGATGACCATCACATAAATGCAGTGGTTTGCAGTGGGGAGGCATGTTCTTGGCTTCGAGGTGGAGGTGGATAGAACAGCATGATGGTCAGAGCGAGCCAAGCAAAAGCTTGGCCTCGTGATGGTCATGCAGCCTTCGCTTGGGTCGCTCTGGCGAGCCAAACAGAGGGGAATGGCAAATCACACATTCAAGTGGCAAACGGAACACACCAAAAAGCAGATGCGAGAGTGCATGGAGGGGGGGGCGAGCATTGACTTGGCTCTCTCTCCTTGCCCTTACAAGGGCAACGGTAACACACGAAATAATGAGTTCGTTCTTAACAGTGGTAACTTATGAGGTGAAGAGATCAGCATCAATGGTGGCGCTCATGATGACCACACAATACGGGAGTGCATGGCGAGGGAGGCAAGCACCAGTAGTAACACACAAAAGAAATGCTGTACCATGACTTATGAGGTGAAGAGATCGGCATTGCTGGTAGTGCTCGTGACGGCCACACGGATACCGGAGCACACGGAGCATCTGCTTCGCTTTCTCTCCGTACCCTTACACGGGCAATGGTAACACACAGAGCAACTGGTTTCATTACAGACATTGGTAACTCACGAGGTGAAGAGGTCTGCATCGATGGTGGCGCTCATAACGACCACACGGATACGAGAGTGCACGGCGGGGGAGGCGAGCATCTGTTTGAGCACGATGAGGAGGAAGTCGGTGTCCATGTCACGCTCATGCACCTCGTCCACCACTACATGGCTCACCCCCTCCATGCCCTCTGGGCTCTGAGGAATGGTTTTAATGAGAGAGTAGGAGGCGGAGGAAAAGGCGAGATGGGGAGAGGGATGGATACAATATAAATCAAAGTGGTGGATGAGGTACAAAAGGGAAACAAGGTATTCAAAAGTGCAACGGGGTGCGGGAACGCACAATGGAGGATGAGGGAAATTGTTTGAGCACGATAAGGAGGAAGTCAGTCTGCATATCTGCACCGTTTGCATCTGCTGTACTGCCACACCCTCACCCACCTCCAACCATCATTCTCCCAACTCAAATCTCTCCGTAATTGGGGCACAAAAAGCTTCACAGCGCCCACGGTTTCGGCCACTTGAAAGGCCTCAGGGAACTATCTCTCGAGAACTTGCCGCATCTGTCTTTGCTTTCTACCTCCATCTCTCACCTTTTTGAGCTCACCAGCTTGGAGTTGGAAAGCTGTTCGCATATATGGACCTGCCTGAGGGGATTGGGCAACCGGAATTGCTAAACGAAACTATCTCTCGACAGCTTGTCACCCAATCCCCTCTGACAGGTCCATTATCTGCGAACAACTTTCCAACTCCAAGCTAACGAGCTCAAGAAGGTGAGAGATGGAAGCAGGAAGCGAAGACAAATATGGCAAATTATCAAGAAATAGTTCCTGAGACCTTTCAAGTGGTCGAAGCCGTGGGCACCTCTGAAGATTTTTGTGCCCCAACTACAGAGAGATCTGTGTTGGGGGAATGATACAGGAGGTGGGTGAGGGCATGACAATATAACAGATCCAGGAGACGCAAGTTGGCAACGAAGTGAGCCTTAGACATTTTAGAAGCTCCAAGCGTTAAAAAAAAGACAGGTGGTTCAGGCATCAGGCAGCTGCTACAGATGCGTACACACCTTTACTTTAGCCTACCGCAATTTTGTCAACTGCTCGAAGGTCTCGAGCAGTGGAAGGTTCTTGGCAGTCACGATCGAGATGAACTGAACATGTTCGAGGCGAACCAAACACCCTATTTTTTCGAGGCGAACATGTTCATGTTCAGTTCGTCGTAGCTAGCCGAGTCGCGTTGCTGACACGAACACGAACGTGTTCGCGACGAACAAAAATGTGTTCGTCGGAAAACTCCGGCAACCCTCTTTTTTAATTAACGGAAAAACACCACCTATTTGAGCTTGACTTTTGCTAATCTCCACTCCCACAGCCTAGAATACAAGCTCCACAAGCTAGTATACCTATACTCCAATGAAATAGTTCGGCGGAACCAAACAGTTGATTTGGTTAACTTTAGGGTTGACGCTTATAGGTGACTAAGTTGTTGTAAGGCGTTCCCTTCACTCAAACACGCCCACCATGTTTAGTCACACCTCCCTGAACAACCTAATCCACCATAGCGCATCATGTGATTTCAATGAAGCTGCCAAATGGCAAACACGAACAATTTTGCCTCAAACATGTTCGTGCTCGAGGCGAACACCTACAGGCGAACACTGAACACCCCTTTTCGTTGGAGGTGATCGGCTGAGCACGAACATGTTCGGTCGCCGAACATGAGTGTTTGAGCCAGGGCGAACATGAACATGTTAGTGTTCACCTTCTGCTCATGCCTAGACATGAGCAAACATCTGAACTCCTGTTCGGTTCGTCCGAACATGTTCGTGACAGAACCGAACCGAACATGTTTTTTGGCCACAAATGTTGGGCCGAACATGTTCGATGTTCGGAGGGGGGGGGGGGGGCGAAGGACACGGGGGAGGAGCAGGCCCACTAAAAACACACTCTCGAACCTCAAACATGTTCGGGTTCGGCCCGAACATGCAGTGTTCGCCCCCCCTATCACGAACACCGAACACCTAAAATCGACAAAACATGTTCGGGCAAACCATTCGGTTCGCCAACAAGACATGTTCGTGGAGGTTCGGGCGAACATGTTCAGTGTTCGCCCGTTGCTCATGTTTGCTCATGTCTATGCGGGATGATGCATGTAGCGAAACAAGGTATAGCCGCGCAAAGCAATGCACCATGCATATTGCACTTGTGTTGCAAATGATGACACTACTCATGCACCTAGTACAGGGTAACAGAAATCAGCTCAGCAGACCATGCCCCACACACACCTGCGCACTGCCAACGAGGGACATCAGCCAAAGCAGCTCACGCCATGCCCCACACACACCTGCATTCGGCTCAGCAGGGCGCCAGCAGTGCAGTATAGAGTGCTGGCACTGGGCCTCACAACTCCCATTCCATTTAACACGCAAAGACATGCTATACTCTTACAGCTGAGGACTAATCAATCAGCACAGCATCCCATACCCCACATGCAAACACACCTGCATTCGCCTGAGCAGTATGCCGACAGTGCAAAAGAGAATGCTGCCTCTGGCCCTGGGCGGGTTGCTGTCCAGCCGAATGCGATACCCCACACTGTCCCCCAACGCCTCGCCCCTCTCCCATGCCACACGCTCTGCCACACTGTAGGGAGGGGGTGGGATATGGTAACACGAGAATGAGCGAAACCAAGAGTTGCTGTCCAGCCGAATGCGATACCCCACACTGTCCCCCAACGCCTCGCCCCTCTCCCATGCTACATGCTCTGCCACACTGTTGGTATGAGGGGTGACGAAGGGGGAAATGAGCGCAACATAAAGTTGCAACTTGCAGGATATAGGAGTGCAATAGTGCAATACCCCACCATGTCCCACCCCAAACTGACTCGCACTGCCGAGGGAAGAGACGCGGCACAGGAGTAGGAGACGCTGGGGTAAGGTGGCGGGCTAGAAGGGGAGAAGCAAGCATGCTAAGGGAGGGGTGAGTGGAGAGGTTAGGCAGGACTGCAGGTATCAACCAGGGCTGCTGAACACCCAAGAACGAGAAATGAAAGGAATGGTGGAGGGAAGTAAGGATGGTGCTGCTGGGAAAAAAAATCTAAGCCAGAATGCATGGAGAAAAAGCATGTAGAGGAAATGGAAAATGCACTGCACAACAGAGCATCAACGCAGGCCGGGGTACAACCAGGGGAAAACTTAGGCGTGGTACCTTGGAGCTCCAGCGAAGAGAAAAGGAGGATGCGGAGAGAGTACCTCAAAGCTGCAATTCTGCGAGGCTGCGTGACTATAATGTGCGTGCTGCTAGCGGTGCCGTTTCGCTCCGAGTCTTCAAGGATAAACTGAGGAACCTGCCAACATTCAAGGAAGACGAAAGATACGGTGGAGTGCATAGGGATGCAACGCAACCATGGCATTGCAATGACATAGGTATTGGGTTGACCACGGGCTGTTTGTTCAACACACGGGCAGGGCTGACCCACACCTGACTGACCCGTGATAGGCCAGCCTGGAAGCGCCGAGCCTCAAACGCCCCCAAACGATGAGCGACACTGGGGTACCCTGCACCATGCACACCATAGCGACACTGGGGTACCCTGCACCATGCACACCATTGCATTCCCTCTCCTTCCATGCGCACACCCTCACTCTCCTGTGCCTTCCACCTCTCCTCAAGGCACCTCTCATAAAACAATTTGTGAAGCGCTTCTAAAACTTTGCTTGAATTTTAATCCCCTACCTGGGTGGTTTTCCCGCAGCCAGTCTCCCCAACAATGAGCGATACAGGGTTTGCCTGCACCATGCTCACCACTGCATCCCTCTCCTTCCACGCTGGCAGCATCTCCCTCCCAGCCTTCAAGTCGACTCAGAGGTCACTTATCCCCCTACCTGCGTGGTCTTGCCACAGCCAGTCTCCCCAACAATGAGAGACACTGGATTCGCCTGCACCATGCGCACCACTGCATCCCTCTCCTTCCACGCACACACCCTCTCCCGTCCCGAGCCCTCCACCTCTCCTTAGCGGGCCTCTCATAAGTCGATTTGTAAGGCGTTCCAAGGACCTTGCTTGCAATTCAAAGCCTTACCTGCGTCGTTTTACCACAGCCAGTCTCCCCAACAATGAGCGACACTGGATTTGCCTGCACCATGCGCACCACTGCATCCCTCTCCTTCCACGCAGGCAGCCTCTCCCGCGCCCTCCACCTCTCCCCCATCTCCCGTGCCACGCTCCTCCTCTCAGCCGCCAATCTGAACCGTTCATCCAGGTACGGATCCCTCGGGTATGGCCCAGATACATCCATTGCCGATGCAGCTGCTGCCGCCGCTGCTGCTGCCGCTGCTGCTGCTCCTCCTCCTGCTGCTGCTGCTTTAGAGGCAGAACCAGAGGGGTAGGGGAGCGAGGAGTAGGAGGAGAAAGGGAGAGTGCCAGTGGAGTGAGGGCGGGGAAGCAAGCCGGTGCCTTGAGTGGTGGAGTCGGGAGGGTGGGAGGGGAGAGGAGGCGAGTGCGAGGGAGGAGGGAGAGACGGTGGCTTGGGCAGGCTGGAGTGGAACTCGGAGAGCACGTCCTCTAGAAGGGCGATGTCGGATGGATTGAGGGAGAGGCGCGGGGTCTGCATGGGTAGGTGGTAGGAGAAGAGACAACACTTTTAAGGTGCCTCGGAAACAGGCTGGAGTGGAACTCGGAGAGCACGTCCTCTAGAAGGGCGATGTCGGATGGATTGAGGGAGAGGCGCGGGGTCTGCATGGGTAGGTGGTAGGAGAAGAGACAACACTTTTAAGGTGCCTCGGAAACAGGCTGGAGTGGAACTCGGAGAGCACGTCCTCTAGAAGGGCGATGTCGGATGGATTGAGAGAGAGGCGCGGGGTCTGCATGGGTAGGTGGTAGGAGAAGAGACAACACTTTTAAGGTGCCTCGGAAACAGGCTGGAGTGGAACTCGGAGAGCACGTCCTCTAGAAGGGCGATGTCGGATGGATTGAGAGAGAGGCGGGGGGTCTGCATGGGAGGGAGGGAGAAGACGAGGAAGGCATCGGAATGAGCTCTGAAGCGACTCAAGAGACAGCGGCTTGGGCAGGCTGGCGTGGAACTCAAAGAGCACGTCCTCTTGAAGGGCGATGCCGGATGGGTCGAGGGAGAGGCGCGGGGTCTGCAGGGGAAGGGAAAAGGGGAAGGGAGGAAATGGGGAAGGGTGGGAGGATATAGGAATGAGGTGGAGGAGGAGAAGGTAGACAACGCACCACACCTCTCCCTCCCTGTACTTTCACCAGCATGCCTGCAGCACTACCACTGCTCTGTCTGTCCTACCAGCAATAACTTTTGATCTGATAAAAACTGCATGCATTGCCTGCTGCTTGCACGCACCTGCCCCTGTTCCTTTGCAGCAGGCATGCCGGCACCACCACCGCTCTGTCCTCCCAGGCTAGTGAGCGAGGAGGAGGAAGGTGCCTGCCTTGAGCAGCCCCAGCTCGTGCAGGCGCTCGCAGGCCGCCACACACACACACACACACACACACACACACACACACACACACACACACACACACACACACACAACAGATGCACACACGGCACGGCACGCACCTGTCCCTGATCCTTGGCCAGAATGCCAGCACTGCCACCACTCTGTCCCATGGCAGCAAGGTTGGAGGAAGAAGGTGCCTTGAGCAGCCCCAGCTCGTGCAGGCGCTCGCAGGCTGCCACACAGCAGTTCCTCTCCGCGTCCGCCTTGTTCCGCCCCCTCCCCCGCGCCACCCACACCTGCGCGCCGGCCCCCCTCCCCAACGGCACATCGAGTTCTGCGTAGAACACCTGGGGAAGGGGGAAGAAAGACGGAGGGGGGAAGTGGGGATGGGGGTTAAAAGAGGACGTACGCCACACTGCCTCCCCTCCCCAGCGGCACATCGGGTTCTGCATAGAACACCTGGGGAAGGGGGAGGGGAGGGGGGATGGGGGGGAGATGGAGGAGTAAGGGAGGAGGAGATAGAAGAGGCTAAAGGGAAGATTGAAGAGTGGAGGGGGGACACTGACTGAACACCCACCGAATGATCAACGCTGTGATGTGCTACCAAAGAATGTGGACAGTCACCACACCAGCGCACCTTGCCATGTTGGTGCGACTTTTGATCATTCTCAAAAGTAACACCAACATTGATGTGCTACCACAGAGTGGACAGTCAACACCGCACCTTGCCATGGTCATGTTCTGCGAAGGAGACGCGGATGTTGAGATTCCCTCCCTTTTTGACAATCAGGTCCTTGAACGACGAGCAGACAGCGCTGTGCTTCACACAGAGTGGCTACTGAGCCAGCTCAACGGTTACCACCATACCTTGCCATGATCAGGCCCCGAAGAGGAAACGCGGATGTTCAGTTTCCCTCCCTTGTTGACGATCCAGTCCTTGAACACCGGACAGTGCTGCAGAAAGTTCTTGGGGTTTTCCGCCCACACAGACGCCAGCCCACCACTACTCCCTCCCCCTCCACCCCCTCCACCCCCTCCTCCCCCCCCTCCTCCCCTTCCACTTGATCCGGGTCCACTGCCTAAGATAGCAGCAAGATGAGGCGCTGCTTCTTCGGGCAACCGTAGCAGATCTCGGTCCTGGGGGAGGGGGAGAGGCGAGAGAGAGGAGTTAGCCACCAGGGTGTTATTTATATTTAATTAAAAACACCCTGCAACTTTCAGGAGCAACTTAAAGGAGGCGCTGCTTCTTCAGGCAGCCGTAGCAGATCCAGGACCAAGGGGGTAGGGGGAGAAGAAGGGGAAAGAGATTAGCCAACCATAAAAAAAGCAGGAATGATCTGTGGCACCCATCCATGCATGCTTGCATGTACATGTACATGTACATCGTATACAGTGCTATCTCTGCGCATAAGACCTTTTGACACGTCTCAAAAGACTGATCTGTTATTGGCACCCATCTATGCTATGGATGCCTCCATGTATGTATACATCGTAGACACTGCTATCTCTGCACATGAGACCCTGTGATGATAAGCGTGCAGATGTGCACATGCGAGTCGGCTGCACTGCACGCATGTTCGGAAGCAGGAACACAAGACATGAGCGGTCTGTTTTGATGCAATAATGTCGTCTTGTAAGTCTGTATTTACATTAAAAAAATAGTAACGATAACATCATCGATGTTAGTAGCTAAGTAGAACCACCTTGAGATGGAAGCATGCGTCGATGGCGCACTGCCGCTCCGCCTCCTTCCTCGTCCTAGACGATCCCCTTGCCGTGAAGCTCGTGTGATCCTGAGGGGTAGAGGAAGGGGGTTTGGGAAAACGGGGTTTGATAACACATTAATCAAATCGTGTACTGAATTGACGGGGAACTGGAACCGATCATGTGGAAAAGGTTCAAATGAAGTCATTTAGAAAAACGGCCTCTTGCTGAGGCCATCATTGACTGCTTCAGATTGTTACGCAATAGCAACGAACGCCTTTCATAATTCATACTTGATCACAAGCAGGATCATAGGCTACTTACATCGACGCGCACGCGAATCTGCACGGAGACGTCGCCGCCACGTGTCGTTACCGGAACGAGCTCGAATGGCAGGTTCTTATCCGTGTACCGGCCGTGAAACACGGGACTGGCCGCCAGGAGAATCTTAGGGTTTCCCTGAATCATCGCGTCCAGCTTTCCCGCGCGTTTCCGCTTGGATCCTACATCAGCGCCAGCCGACGGTCGGCCGTAGCGATCTGACGTGGAGAGCTGCGCGAAGGATCGCATCGTGCCCTGAATTTGAGAAGCGGGTGGAGGATGAAGACCTATTATCGAGGACGGCGTGAACGGGTAACCATATGGCTGCTGCCCTTGCTGTTGCTGCTGCTGCTGCTGCTGCTGTTGTAGCTGCTGAAGCTGAGTGTAGGGTATCGAAGCAGGTCCACTCCAGGGATCCGTTTCCATGCTATACCGCCGGTTTCGCCTCGCAACCTCGATATCCGTATAAGGGACACTGGTGGAAGCTCGCGGTAATGTTATTCAGGTCCACCTTAGGGGTCCATTTCCATGCTATACCGCCGGTTTCGCCTCGCTTGAAGACAAGCAATTTTGATATCTAAAACAAGAGACACATGTGGAAGCACGCAGGGAGCGAATGCGAGCGGGGTGGTCATGGCACCTGAGGGAGCACTGGATAGTAAGGACCTACCATCGGAATCTGAGAATCAGCAAGCCTCTAGAAGAAAAGCATCAGTTGCGGGATTTCCAAGGTTGGAACAAACCCGTTGGCAGGCAGGTTGGCAATGACGAAGCGTGTCCGCTCTTCGGACGTGTTTTCCTATTGTGCTCATGTCGTACTGCTTCGGTTTTGCTTTTGTTCTTATATTTGACAGTTCAAGCTGGCCCCGTAATCTATTCAAGTGACTGTATTGTATTGTGATGTACATGCTCCCTCCACAAACTGAATACGCCCGCTCGGTCCCTTCACAATCTCCTCTCCTTTCTAGTTCCCAATCGCGGAGACCCAGATCATCTCCTAGAACTTAGGATCTGGCCTCGAGCTTCTGGCAATGGCTTCTCTAGCAGACTGGTGGTTGAACACCAGCTGTCCTGTCGCCGGCCTTCCTTCACTGCGTGCCGTTGCGATCCTCTCAGCGTACGTCGCCTTTCTCATAGTAGCAGGCGCGATTCTTCCCGGAAAAGTGTTTCCTGGAACAGTTCTTTCCGACGGGACTCGCCTCCATTACAAATGCAACGGCTTCCGCGTTCTCCTCCTCCTCCTCGCTCTCCTCGGCTACGGGGTCCAATCCGGGCATCTCTCCGCGACTATCGTCGCCGATCTAGCTGGCGAACTTTTCGCGACGACTTTCGCCATCACGGTACTCCTATCCCTCGCTCTCTACCTCGCGGGAGTCTTCTCAGCCAATGCCAAATCCTCCTCCCTAAAACCTAAATTCCACGGCAACTTCATCAGCGATTTCATCTACGGCGTACAGCTAAACCCGTCTGTGTTCGGACTCGATCTCAAGTTCTTCTGCCTGCGACCCGCCATGATGGGATGGCTTCTGATCAACCTCTCTATTGCAGCGAAGCAGCATGAGCTTCTGCTGAAACTCCCCGACAACTCCCACGCGATCTCCCTCGCCTCGTTGAACCTCGCCGCCATTCTTCCCGCCGGCGTCGCAAGCAGCAGCATCGCCACCCTCCCTATAATCACACTTCCCATGTTCCTGTATCAGGTGTTCACTGCTATTTATGTCCTGGACTATTTCTGGTTCGAGGAATACATGACATCTACGTGGGACATTATCGCTGAGAATTTTGGCTTCATGCTGGTTTTCGGGGATTTGATCTGGATCCCTTTCACCTTCTCGGTCCAGGCATGGTGGCTGCTGGCTCACGGCACAGCTCGCGACAGTATTGCAGCCACCGTTTCTCCGCCCTTCACTATTGTCACAGTCGCCGTATTTGTTGTAGGCTACGCCGTGTTCCGTGGCGCCAACCGCCAGAAGCACATTTTCAAGCACGACCCAACGGCTAAAATCTGGGGTAATACACCCCGTGTTGTTGGCGGCAGACTGCTGGTTTCAGGTTACTGGGGCATAGCTCGGCATTGCAACTACTTGGGAGATTTGATGCTGGCTCTCTCTTACAGCCTGCCCTGTGCTTTCTACTCCCTCTGCCCCTACTTCTACCCCATCTATCTGCTCATACTTCTCCTCTGGAGAGAGCGCCGGGATGAGGCTCGGTGCCGAGCCAAGTACACGGAGGTCTGGAAGGAGTATTGTAGGATCGTGCCTTGGCGCATTGTGCCCTTTATCTACTAGGCGGGATGTGGAATGTGCGACAGTATGAAGATCTTGGGCAGTGTGCACCAGAGCATTGAGCATGTTCACAGTTCTCTCTTGGATAGGGTTTTGCAACATAATCTACTCTGTTGCCCACATAGTAAAACAGTATGTAGCAAGCTCCTTTGTCAGAGCTTCATTTCAAACTTATTTTGTACAGTATGTGCTTAAAAGCAGCTCTAGAAGAACAGCCTCATATCTGCTTGATCCCCCATTACTCAACTCCACATCATCCCTGGGCTGCCAGTACACGCTCCCTCCTGCTTTCCTCAGCTCATTCCAGTAGGAACCATCATCCCCGGACACTGAAATGTCCGCATCAGTGAGTGATATCCACACGCCATGGAAGGGAATCGCATGCTTTCCCGTGCTCTGGCCCGGTTCCAGAGTAAGATGGTGGATGGCAATATCAGGCCACTCGCCGCTCTTGTCTCTCTCCCAGCCACTCCCCTTCAGCTCTGTACCCTTGAGAACACTTAACCCTTTCAATTTTTCTCTATCACGCTCGCTAGCACCGGTTGGGGCCGTAACTGCTGCTGGGGCTTCTGGGCCTGGTTGAGAGGGAAACACCTCGACGGCGACTATGTACATTGGCTCTGGATTACTTTGAAGGGAAATTACCCTGTGGATTTCTGGATGAGTGGTGTAGTTCGCGCAGAATCCCACGCGACTGGGTAGGGCGGTGTCAAGCCATTCCTGGCCGTATATCTGCTTGCGGTAGGCCCCGCCGCTGACGGCGATGAAGTAGGTGTTGCACGCGTGGCGGTGGAAGAGAGTTTCGGCTCCCGCTGGAATCGTGGCCGAGAAAACGCGGACGCGATCGTTGGAGAACACAATCTTATGAAGCGGCTCGTCCTCTATCTGCACTATAGGATCTTCAGATGCCATGACTCCTCGTGACGGAACCTACATACGCCTATCTAGTAACGCGCTTCCAGAATAAAGACTGGTGTGGAAAATAGACAAAGGGATGGGGTGGGTTTGTGGATGGCTTTCTTCGCTAGTAGCATATCCTTCAGTAGCAACTGTTTCTTCCCGTAACCTAAAGGCAAAACAGAAAGTGTTTGCCATTGGTGGTACGTCGTGGTGGCTTCTGGTTGGTCTCGAACATTCCAGTACAGAACGTGTGGAGCAGCAGACTCGTATACACTAACGAATTCGCATTTTGATTTGCGTGTCGAACCCAACCTCGAGGTGAATGGCTGAACCTAGCTTTTTCGGCAAAATCCAGGAAGTCGAAATTCCAGGCCACGAAAATCCAGGCCAGGCTTGCCCAAGACTCTACTAAAGAGGCTAGGCTCTCCAGGCTTATCCACAGCCACAGATAACGGTGTTCACCGTTTGAGCGCGAGGTTCGTTAGTCGCTTTGCACCTCTTCAGCTCTGCCTGCGAAGTGTACGTTCCATTATCTGCACGGGGCCTGAAGTGAAGTGACGACGCAATTGGAGTTCGCGAATTCGTGAAGGTCGTTGCTCGGTTTTACAGTTAGCCGGTGCGAAGACCGCAAGCTGCAAGCGGGAGCATCGCAAGCGAGATTATTGCAAGCAGGTTTAGCGAAAGCAGGATTTGTGCGAGTGGGACCATCGCAATGGCCTCCACGTTGCGGACTCTTTCGTCCCAGCTTCTCACGAATTCGCTCCAGATTGTTGCGACGTCGCAAGACGCAGGATGCGGTCGCGATTGTTCGCGAGCTCTTCGTTTGAGGTTGTCGCTTCACTCTCGTCTGATTCTTCTCGTCATACGTCGCATGCTCTCGTCGCATCTCCTTGCACAAAGCCGTCGCGCTGGACATCCTCGTCAAACCCCGTTCGCAAATCGCTGTCGCATGCGTCGCACTGAAACATTCTTGTCGCATTCAGCTCGCTCAGCTGCACGGGAGTTCCGGCGAATTCTCCTCTCGCGCTCCAGCTCATGCGTCATTCGCCTCTCGCATTTCTCTCGCCCGTCTCAACCCTCCCATTCTTCCACCCTTCTCACCCCTCTCAACCCTCACCCCACTCACCACCTCTCACTCCTCCACCCCCCTTACTTTGCTGTGCATCCCTCAGGTATCCTCGCACAAACCAGATCGTCGCAAGGCGATCGCTGCTTGCTGCTGCCAGAAGGAAAGCACCCTCTCGCACGTCCCACTCGCGTGCCTCCATTTTCGGAAATCAAACCCCCCGAAGTGGAAACTACCATGTCAAGAAGGGGGTGAGGGTGGCAGCGGTGGCAACAGACGAGCAGGGGGAGGGGGAGGCGGAAGGGGAGGGTGCGGAGTGCGTTGCAAGGGCTGATCGCCCTCCGTTCGACCTCAATCTGGCCGTGCTGCTGGCGGGATTCGCGTTTGAGTCTTATAACGAACCGCAGGTGCGTGCAGCAAGCAGTGACCAATGACCAGCGAGAAGTGATCAAATCATTGCTGTCGCGCTTTAGAATCTAGAAGAGAACCCATTTCAATGTGTTTATGACCCATCGGATGGGACACAAGAGGCGCGCGAATCATGCTGACATGCACTCCAATCTGGCATGCACTCCAATCTGACATGAATTGCATTGCGCATGATCCGCCTTCCCTTTTCGCAACAACTTGCCCATGCTGCTCGCGCCAGTCTTGCAGAATCCCAAAAACACCCTGCGAGTTCTGAAAAACCACCTTGCAATACCCCAAAAATTCGCAGGAGAGCAAGGAGACCTTGTGGGAGGAGGACGTGGGTGGCTGTCGCACCATCTTCACATCCTACGGTTTTGCTTACGAGCTCTACTCCGGCCAGCTCATCGTGGCCGTCCAATCCGCCTCCAATGTGCCAGCCGTTGATCTCTGGGTGGGTGGACGCATGGGGCCTTTGCTGATGTTTCCACGTACAAGTTACCTGTGCACTCTTCAGCGTTGCCCTTTCAAACGCAGCAGCAAACCCCTACTTGTTGGCAGCCTACCGTTTCTTTCAACATCCCAATCCCCTGTGCAATCTTCGTCGCTGCTTGTTCCTCTGTCTGCCTATTACGCCCCTGCCAGGGCACCAGCGATCCCTACGTGCTGGCAGCAGTGGGGGAGGCGTCTGCGCGCACGCGCACCATCTGGACGTGAGTCTACTTTCCAGGTTGCCTTGCTATCGCCTTTGAAAGCAGACGTGAGTCAAATCTTTCAAATGCCTTGCTATCGTACATGCGCGCGACCTGGATGTCAGTGTTCAGTCATAACTGCTTCGCTATCTTAGATCACTGCACTGTCTAGTAACTCTATCTCTATCAAAGCTGGCTTCACTAACGATTATTCTCACTGTCGATTAGTTTTTCTATCCAATAATTCAACTATCTACACTCGCACATGCATGTCCCCAGGAGCACGGCGCCCGAGTGGAACGAGGAGATTCGCCTGCTGGTGAAAGCAGATGACACCTCCCCCAAGTACCTAAAGGTGCTGATGACACCTCCCCCAAGTACCTTAAAGTGGAAATGATAGAACCTTTACAGAATTCGTTACATGCATGTAGCCTGGCATCGCCTTCACTGTCTCCTCCATCTTCACCTTCCTCGTATCCTTCCTCTTCTCGCTCCTCTCATCTCCACTTTCGTCTCTTTTCCTTTCCCTTTCCCACTGCCCTGATCTTTCTCTTTCCTAAGGATTCATCTCCTGCCTCTGCTTGCCTCTTCCGAGGTTTCTTTCTTTTTCCAATTGGATCCCACCTGTTCATCCATGGCTGCTCCCTCCAATCGTTTGCTCTCCTTTTGTCCAGTCACGACTCTCTTATATATTTCCCCTCATTAAACACTCTATGTTCCATCTCTACATCTGGTTCCTCCTCCGTTCTCTCAACCCCCCCCCCCTTCCCCGTCCACCAATCACAGCTGTCCATGTGGGATGATGGAATCGTCATCTCCCCCCGTCGCCTTGGAAATGCTTCAATCCGATTGGATGACCTCCTGGACGGTAGCATCCTTTTCTCTGCCATTGCTCTCTGTGTTTTCTTTCAGCGCATATGAATTCACTTACCGCTATGAGAATCCGCCAATCCCACTAGACTGGTTGAGCAAGCTTATGCGCTGAGTTTCTAAGTTTCCTTTAATTCGCTTGTCCTGTTTTCTAAAGGGCCGGTAAAATTCAAAAGGCTTCACATAAACTGTCTGTGCGTCATCCCACGATCTATCCTGCGTTTGTGTGTGCATGCACGCTCAGGCGAGACACACGAGCACGAGGTGGCTCTGGAGGGCCCGGGAGGAGGGGCCACGCTGAAGCTAGCAGTGCGCTACCGCAGCTTTGCAGAGCTGGCAGAGGAGGAGAGGCGGAGGTGAGAACAGCTGGGAAGTATGTTTGGGGTAGAGGGGTCCGAGGCCTTTTGGAGCAAGCTGCAGGAGGCGCCACGCTGAAGCTAGCAGTACGCTACCGCAGCTTTGCAGAGCTGGTGGAGGAGAGGCGGAGGTGAGTGGTTTCAAATCGTTTCACCACTGCTGCTTTCTTTCCTTCCAACCAGGCATCGGTGAAAGGATCTCACCCCTCTTTTTTTTCCCTCTCTCATCAGTGACTTCCTAATGCTAGTTCAGTCAGATCAGACCCCATATTTCACTTTTCCTCTCTCTCTCTCTCCCTCTCTCCTCCCTCTCTCTTCCCCGCCCTCCCAGGTGGCGCCTGCCCTCTCTGGATGACATTTTCTCAGGGCAGCTCCCTCTGGTCTCCGGCTTTCAAGACGTCATCACTTCAGCCTTGCAACAACCCTCTACCACACCTGCCGCTGACTCCTCCCTCGCTCCCACCGATGGCTCGGCCCCCGCTACCAGCCAACCGTCGCCAGCCATTTCCACGTACGAGTTTGTCCGGTCTGCCATCCAGCAGTTCGGAGCCCCGTCAGCCTTCCCAACGAGTCTGGATAAGATCCGAGACTCGGTCGTCCCAACCCAATCCTCGCCACAAGAAGCAGCAGCAGCAGTGGCAGGCTCAGCAGAAAGCACAGCAGTAAATGCTGAGAGTGGTAGCTGTGAGAACAGCAGCAGAGAGCAGCAGGTGAGGCAGGCGGTGGGGTTGGCGAGGGAGGTGCTACTCAGGGCAGGCTGGATCCCGCCAGGTGGCACCCTAGACCAGCTCAGTCAGGCGGTTATCAGTGGTGCTGACAGTGGCTCTGGTGGCTCTGGCAATAGTTCAAGCAGCAGCAACAGTGACGCTGACCCGGCTGCTGCATCTAGTGGTTTTGATCTGGGTTCTGCTGCAGCGGCAGCTGCAGGGGGGTTGCTGGAGGGAGCTGCAGGTGCAGTGGCAGGGAGGATAGAGCAGCGGCGAGCAGAGCTAAGGAGAAGCCTGACAGACATGGGAATCACCCTCCCCTGGTACGACCAGAAGAACGGGCAAGGAGCGGATGGGCAAGGGACGGACGGACAGACTAGCAGTTCTGCTGCAGCGGCAGCAGCAGGGGATTTTCTGGAGGGGGCTACAGGCGCGTTGATGGGGAGGATAGAGCAGCGGCGAGCCGAGCTAAGGAAAAGCCTTGTGGACCTTGGGATTACCCTGCCCTGGTATGACCAGAGCAATGGGCAAGGGGCGGAGGGGCAAGGGGCAGACAGACAGGCAAGCCCCTCTACAGATGTCACTGCTTCCCAAGAGCCGTCCTCCACCTTGGACGATCTTCGAAAGGCCGCTTTCAGGCAGACTGAGGGGGTGCTGGGATCGCTCGCCCTGCTCGGCAGCACAGCTGGCGGCCTCCCATTGGCCGAGGGGGAGAAGAAGAGCTTACGCGAGGGGGAGGGGGCAGGTGAGGTAGCAAGTGAGGGAGTGAGTGAGGGAGCAAGTGAGGGGAGTGTGGTGGGGGAGGAGGAGGCGGAGGAGGCACGGCGCATGTTTGGGAGTGCAGAGACGGCGGTGGAGGCATGGACCATGCTGGCGAGCTCGCTCGGGCAGCAGACGTTTGTCAAGTCGGAGTTTGATAAAGTGTGCTTCCTGGACCACAGGGTGTCGGACACGCAGGTGGCCATCTGGAGGGATGTGCGGAGGAAGAGGATTGTGGTGGCGTTCCGAGGCACGGAGCAGGTGAGATGCAGCAAGAGCAGGTGAGGGGACTGCAGACGTTTTGTCAAGTCGGAGTTTGATAAAGTGTGCGTCCTGGACCACAGGGTGTCGGACACGCAGGTGGCCATCTGGAGGGACGTGCGGAGGAAGAGGATTGTGGTGGCGTTCCGAGGCACGGAGCAGGTGAGATGCAACAAGAGCAGGTGAGGGGACTGCAGACGTTTGTCAAGTCGGAGTTTGATAAAGGGTGCGTCCTGGACCACAGGGTGTCTGACACTCAGGTGGCGGTCTGGCGGGACGTGCGGAGGAAGCGAGTCGTGGCGGCATTCCGAGGAACGGAGCAGGTGAGATGCAACGAGCTTCCAAAGCATGGAGCCATCACATAGTAGATAACTATGTTTACACCATCTCCTCCCATCCCACCCCCCTCCCTCTATCCCTTTTGCCTCTCATCTTTCACCTCTCATCTTTCGCCTCTCATCTTTCACCCCTCGTTTGCTGGCAGACGAAGCACAAGGACCTACTCATGTACAACTTTCTATTAAATTTCTGTATTCAAATAAAAACAAAACAAAAACAAAACAAAAAAAAAACAAACAAACAAAAAACACACGAAAAAAAAAAAAAAAACACACACACACAAAAAAACACAAAAACAAACAAAAAAAACAAACAAACAAACTTCAAACTCCTCTCCCCTCTTCTCCGCTCTCCCTCCTCGCTCCTGCTTCTCCCTCGCTCGCTAACAGACGAAGCTAAAGGACCTACTCACAGACATCTCCCTCTCTCCGTCCAGGTGAGCAGTGGTGCAGAGAGGTTTGCTGAGGTACCCCTGCGGCGGTGTGCTTCAGGTGGGGTTGGGGTGAAATTGGAGAGAGGCTGGGTTGAGGCTGGGGTGAGGATTTGAGCAATTGGAGACTTTGCTCAAATCGGAGCAAGGAAAGGCTCTTTGTTACTTCCTTCCTCCCTCACCTTCCTTGAACCTTTCCTCTTCCCTTTCCTCCCTTACCCCTCCTCCTCCCATTCCAGCCTCAACTTTGAAAGAACCTTCGTTTTTTTTAGCCCGAAAATCTTCTTTCTTATTTCCTCCCTTCCCCTTGCTTTCTGCTTTCTCCTTACTTTCTCCTTTCTCTTCCTCCTTTCCCGTTGCTTTCCCCCACCTCCCCTTCCAGCCTCGACGTCGAGCGAACCTCGTCGGGCGATTTCGACCAGGATGTCATGGTGAGAGGGGTGTGACGTCATGGTGAGAGGGGTGTGACGTCATGGTGAGAGGGGTGTGACGTCATGGTGAGAGGTGTGTGACGTCATGGTGAGAGGGGTGTGACGTCATGGTGAGAGGGGTGTGACGTCATGGTGAGAGGGGTGTGGCGTCATGGTGAGAGGGGTGTGACGTCATTTTGAGAGGGGTGTGACGTCATGGTGAGGGGTGTGACGTCATGGTGTCAAGTTTAGTGTGTTCACATTAGAGAGTTAGTCTCTAATGCCAATGCTGTTACTACTCAGACGTTCCTGGAAACCAATCCCCTCAGAATTATGCTTTTTCGTAAAGTTCGCCTGCCCCTTGTCTCTGTTGAGTTCAAGCAAGCATCTCCTCTCCTCCCCCACCCCCCAAATGTTTCCTCCTTCACCCCCCACCCCCCTCTCCAGGTGCATGGGGGTTTCCTGGCTGCATATGACTCAGTGCGCGCTCGCCTCCGCTCCCTCATCGCCATCATCACTGACCCCAACCGCCCTACTCCGCTCACTGCCCATTCCGCTGATGCTGATGCTGATGCGGATTCCTCGATCCATTCAGCTGACAGCCTATCAGAGGGTGACACGTGGCGGGTGTACCTGACAGGGCACAGCCTGGGAGGAGCCCTGTCGACCCTCTTTGCCTACGAGCTCTCCCAGTCCAACCTGGTCAGGTGGGCTCTGTAGTTTTCACCTGGTCGGGTGGGCTCCGTAGTTTTCACCTGGTCGGGTGGGCTGTGCTGTGACAAAAGAAGCATGTTAACGTTTGATGGCAAGCGGGGCAAATGGGGCAAGTAGGGCGGATTTGCTGAGTATGTGACCATGATAATTCTACTGGTGCCACTGTGATCTGTTGTTCCAGCCCTCCTTGTTTTGAGACGTCTCAAAACACGGCGAATGGGGCAAGTAGGGGGCGAATCTGCCGAGTATGACCATGATCATTCTACTGGTGCCAATATGATCTGTTGTTCCAGCCCTCCTCCTTCCCATCTTCTCGCATGTGCAACTGCCTCTGTTTTCTCATTCCCTACCCCTCCTCCCACCTTACCTTTCCTCCCTCCCCACCCTCCCTCGCGACCCCACGCTCCTTTTTTCAACCCAACCACGCCCCATGCCACAGGGAGCGCAACATCCATCTCGTTTTGAGGCGCCTCAAAACTAGATTTGTTTCAACCCAACCACGCCCCATGCCACAGGGAGCGCAACATCCATCTCGTTTTGAGGCGCCTCAAAACTAGATTTGTTTCAACCCAACCACGCCCCATGCCACAGGGAGCGCAACATCCATCTCGTTTTGAGGCGCCTCAAAACTAGATTTGTTTCAACCCAACCACGCCCCATGCCACAGGGAGCGCAACATCCATCTCGTTTTGAGGCGCCTCAAAACTAGATTTGTTTCAACCCAACCACGCCCCATGCCACAGGGAGCGCAACATCCATCTCGTTTTGAGGCGCCTCAAAACTATTTTTTTTTCAACCCAACCACGCCCCATGCCACAGGGAGCGCAACATCCATCTCACCATGTACCACTATCGTCCTTTTTTCTCCCTCTGCCCTCCCTCCTCTTCTGCCCTCCCTCCTCTTCTGCCCTCTCGCCCTCTCTGTCGTCCCTCCCTCTCTACCCTCACTCTCCATCTCTCAGGGAGCGCAACATCCATCACACCATGTACAACTATCGTCCTTTTTTCCTCATCTCTGCCTTCCCTCCCGCTCTGCCCTGCCCCTCCCTCCATCCCGCAGGGATCGCAACATCCATCTTACCATGTACAATTACGGCTCCCCTCGTGTGGGAAATGCAGCCTTTGTTGCCAGATTCAACGTGGTCAGTGTCCCTAATGCACCCTAGCCCTTGTCATAACTCGACAATGGCACTATGTTTACGCCATGAAACCCCTGGGCAACGCAGCGTCCGTTGCCTGATTCAACATGGTTAGTCACCGTAACACATGGTTAGTCACCGTAACACATGGTTAGTCACCGTAACTCATGGTTAGTCACCGCAACACATGGTTAGTCACCGTAACACATGGTTAGTCACCGTAACACATGGTTAGTCACCGCAACACATGGTTAGTCACCGTAACACATGGTTAATCACCGTAACACATGGTTAGTCACCGTAACACATGGTTAGTCACCGCAACACATGGTTAGTCACCGCAACACATGGTTAGTCACCGTAACACATGGTTAGTCACCGCAACACATGGTTAGTCACCGTAACACATGGTTAGTCACCGTAACACATGGTTAGTCACCGTAACTCATGGTTAGTCACCGCAACACATGGTTAGTCACCGTAACACATGGTTAGTCACCGTAACACATGGTTAGTCACCGTAACACATGGTTAGTCACCGTAACACATGGTTAGTCACCGTAACACATGGTTAGTCGCCGTAACACATGGTTAGTCACCGTAACACATGGTTAGTCACCGTAACACATGGTTAGTCACCGTAACACATGGTTAGTCGCCGTAACACATGGTTAGTCGCCGTAACACATGGTTAGCCACCGTAACACATGGTTAGTCACCGTAACACATGGTTAGTCACCGTAACTCATGGTTAGTCACCGCAACACATGGTTAGTCACCGTAACACATGGTTAGTCACCGTAACACATGGTTAGTCACCGTAACACATGGTTAGTCACCGTAACACATGGTTAGTCACCGTAACACATGGTTAGTCACCGTAACACATGGTTAGTCACCGTAACACATGGTTAGTCACCGTAACGCACTGGCCTTGTCATGGCACTTATGCATAAGTCATGTGTTGAAGCGGGGACAGAAAAATCTTGAATTGGTGAGGCACTTATCGTTCCTCCATTGACCCTCCTTCACCATAGCACCTCATCCCTTCTCCCCTTCTCTCCACATCACACCCACCCGCCCACCCACCCACCCCCACCCCCACCCACCCATCCACCCACCCCTGCTCGCTCCCACCAGTATATGAAAGACAGCTGGCGCATTGTGAATCGCGCTGACATCGTCCCCACAGTGCCCAAGCTAATGGGGTACCGCCATGTGTGCTGCCCCATCTACCTCAGCCCAGGAGGACCCTCAGGTGACCTTCAGGTGAGTTATGTTCTTCAGGTGGGTGACCTTCAGGTGGTTTTGACATTCAGGTGTCTTCCAGACGAAAATGACTTCAGGTGGTTCTGAAAGGACTAAAACTCCATCTTGCTTATCTGCGGATGTGTCCATGTGTACATTCATGTATGAGCGCATGTGTGCTTGTGCGTATGCATCCATGGATGCATACATGTCCACATGTTTCTATGTGTGTATGCATGCATGTGTCCATATGACAGGCGGATGCATCACAAGAGCAGCTAGGAGTGGATGATGGGTATGCAGCAGAGGTGGTGGGGGAGGCCAATGCCAACGACATCCTAGAAGACTATGTGAGACATGCACTCATGCACACATGCACTCATGCACACATGCACACATGCACACATGCACATGGACACTCTATGTGAGACAAGCGAGTTTTGAGTGGACTTAATACTCGTCACTTGCTCATGCTCTCTTCCACTCCCCTTCCCCGCAGTTTTGAGGCGCCTCAAAACTAGACTTCTCTTCCACTCCCCTTCCTCACGGTCCCCCCTTCAGATGAAGGGCGAGAGGAGGCTGATCGACCGGCTGCTGCAGACGGAGGTGGCGATGCTCTCGGCGCTAAGGGATGGGTCCGCCATCATGATGCACATGGAGGACTTTTATTATATTGCCCTGCTCAAGGTGGGGTGGGGGATGCATGGTAGCATATGGTACATGGCTCGCATTGCATATGGGTCCGCCATCATGATGCACATGGAGGACTTTTATTATACCAAGCTGCTCAAGGTGAGATGTGTAGCATACGCATGTTGCGTGCATGGAAAGAGTCTGTGGTAAGTCCTCAAGTTTACTCAAGTCGGTGAGGGATGGGACTGCCATCATGATGCACATGGAGGACTTTTATTATATCGCGCTGCTCAAGGTGGGGCATATGTGGCCCGTATGTCTGCACATGATACGTGATTCATGGCTCGTGGTGCATATGGGTCTGCCATCATGATGCACATGGAGGACTTTTATTATATTGCCCTGCTCAAGGTGGGGCATATGTGGCCCGTATGTCTGCACATGATACGTGATTCATGGCTCGTGGTGCATATGGGTCTGCCATCATGATGCACATGGAGGACTTTTATTTTATCGTGCTGCTCAAGGTGGGGCATATGTGGCCCGTATGTCTGCACATGTTACGTGATTCATGGCTCGTGGTGCAAATGGGTCCGCCATCATGATGCACATGGAGGACTTTACTACATTATTAAGTTGACGATTTGTTTAAACTGGCTCTCTAAGACAACGGTTTAACGCTCTAAGCTCACCGGGAAATCCATCCATCCATCCCATGGGGTTTGTCTCGTCGTTTTAATAACCATACAAGTTGATGGAAGTAAGACCTCCGCAGCCCACCTGTCTGCGTTCGACAACTCCTGATCATGATGCACATGGAGGACTTTACTACATTGCTCTGCTAAATGTGTGTTTCACGTGCATGGGAACGAGTGCTTATGGTGCATGGTAGAGTGGGCACATGGGTCTGCCATGATGATGCATATGGAAGACTTTTACTACATTGCTTTGCTCAAGGTGGGGTGTGGGATTAGTATTTTATGCGCGTGGGAAGAGGATGTGGTGACTTCTCAGGCTGACTCAGAAGTCGCTGAGGGATGGGTGCGCCATGATGATGCACACAGAAGACTTTTACTTCATTGCTCTGCTCAAGGCATGTGTTTGTACATGATGCGTGATGCATGGTGCATTAATGCATGGTGCAATAAAGCATGGTGCATTAATGCATGTTACATGACTTGAATTACATGGGTCCGCCATCATGATGCACATGGAAGACTTTCGCTACATTGCCCTGCTGAAGATGGGATGTGGGATGCATGGTAGCACATGGTATATTAGTGCATGGTACATGACTCACTTCACATGGGTCTGCGATCATGATGCGCATGGGAAACTTCTATTAGATTGCGCTGCTCATGGGTAAATTGCACATTGCACATTGCACATGGCACATAACGCATGGCGCATGGAACATGGCACGTGGTACATGGCACATAGCACATGGTACATGGCACCACCACAATCTGCATGGCATGGCAGGCCTCCTTGTTCCCATCTCGTCTCTCCCCTCTTACACTCTCACCTTTTCAACCCTCATCTACTCCACTCCCATCTCCCTACCCATTCTCACCACACTCTCACTCTCCGTCCCCCTCTCCCCTCCGCCCCCCAACACTCCTTTCTCCCAACACGCACAACAGAAAGTGCGAGAGAGCCTGGGTGTTTCTCAGTGAACAGCTCCCTTATACTTCTGCCCTCTGCCGCTTTGCTGCTATGCTGACATTCCCGAGTAGTTGGTGAATTTTCTCTATCTCTGTTGAGAAGTGAACGCTTACGCCTGAAGGGGAATGTGTCCAGTGATCCTGTTGCTAATGCCACATTTGACAGCATTCTTGACGATGTGACGCCTTCAACTTGAGGGTTCTTGCAGCACGCTGCACGTTCTGTTTCATTGCGCCTCAATCACGCCTTCACGTTTGAGAATTCATATCACCCTAACAGAAAGCTCGATTATAGTATGGTTTACTTCCTTGACAAATAATTCGGAATCCGAATTCTAGTTTTTACAAACGGGTACAGAGCACACGAACCCGCTGCGGAAATGGTACGAGGCGAGATGAACGAACCGAAAAGATTTTCGCAAAATCGCTTTCCCGCACCCTTCAGGGCACTCAACCCGCCCCCAGCTTGCCTGTGCTATCTCCTGTTTTGTCCCGTGCCCATCACGGGACGGCATTTATGCTGCGCATAAACTAATGCTGTAGTCTTCCTTTCTCATTCGGTCAAACTATCGGACCATTTCTCAAGCAGACACAGCCAGGCTCCCTAGACTCTCGTCCGAAAAATAGTTGTCGGTCATCGTGCTTCTTGGCAGCAGTAATCGTTCAATTCAAAGTCGTCGCGTTCCGCACTCATCATGTGTGTTTCCATGACGGACTTCTATCCTTCACTGCGTGTGTGTGATATCACCCGTCCCACACACGCGACGCGCAGGTGTCACTGTACATTAGCAGTTCCGGGTTAGACATGGAATCCTGACTAACCCCTCCGCTCCGATTTTCACCAGCAAGAATTCCCCTCCGTCTGAGACGCCATCCTATTTAGCCTCTCGCGCGATCCTCAGAAACGGATGTGAGCGATCGTCACGCGCGGCGAGTCACTTTCTGAGACGTCTCAATAATCTAAGCAAGCAATCGTCACGCGCGGCGAGTCACTACCCTCGGCCGGAACCTTGTTGCCAGTCCGCTACACTGAAATTTGTTGGCACTCAACACGCCCAGCCATGATGGCGATCCTTACACTCCCGCCGCGTCCTCCGCTCCTCCTGCTCCCGCTCGCGCTGCTGCTGCTCTCGTCGGCGGGCCTCCCCCTCCGCGCGCGCGCGCAGCAGTGCTCCGCCACCACGCTTTGCGCCAACAACCTCTGCTGCAGTGTTGCGGGCTATTGCGGCTCCACCCCCGATTACTGCGGCGCTGGCTGTCAGTCCGGGCCGTGCGGCGGAAACACTTCCGCGGCCGCTCCCCCTTCCGGTGCCCCTCCCCCGTCATCTGGTTCCGCGCAGTGCGGAGCAGCAAACGGCAACGTCGTCTGTCCGAACAACCTCTGCTGCAGCGCTGCGGGCTATTGCGGCTCCACCCCTGATTACTGCGGCGCTGGCTGCCAATCCGGGCCGTGCGGGGGAAACTCTTCCGCGGCCGCTCCCCCTTCCGGTGCCCCTCCCCCGTTATCCGTCAACGGGCAATGCGGAGCAGCAAACGGCAACAGCGTTTGTGCCAACAACCTCTGCTGCAGCGCTGCGGGTTATTGTGGCTCCACCGTAGATTACTGCGGCGCTGGCTGTCAATCCGGGCCGTGCGGGAGAAACACTTCCGCCCCCGCCCCCCAATGCGGAGCAGCAAGCGGCAACCGCGTCTGCCCCAACGGTTTCTGCTGCAGCAAGTTTGGCTGGTGTGGCTCCACCCCGGATCACTGCGGATCTGGCTGCCAATCCCAATGTGCCGCGACTCCCTCCAAAAAGGCTTTCCGTTCAACGTATGGGATGAATAGTACCGCGAGTGTTTTGATCAGTATAGTTTTACCAGCAGCGGTTATCTTTGCCTTCTAAACAGCAAAAGCTTCATATGCAGTTTGATCTGCTCGATCTGTACACCAGACCAGAGTATGAAGCTAGGGTGCATGCTCATGTCAAAGAGTGCAAAAGTATGTGCTGGACGCGCCACGCCCTTGTTGCTTGCACAAAATAATCAATCATCTTGCATTCGCCTGAAGCTGTTCACGGCTCGTGACAACGTGACCACCTGAAAGAGTGGTCTATGGATGCTTGGGGCTCATGCTTGCTTGCCTAGACTTTCAGCCTAAACGTTGTTACCAGTAGTCAGTTCTTATTCCGAGTTCGATTTTTACAAACGGGAACAAAACAAGCCCCTACGACATTAATTGGAACTGGTAGAGACGAGGTGAATAAACCGATTTGTTTTCCTCAGAATCGTTTTTAACCGATATTACCAAATATTTCTGTCCCCTCACCTCGTCGTCAGTCCCCATTAGTCTTCGCAATCGGGCCATTCGTATAGTAGACACAAACGCCCATCCGTGCGTGCTTACTTGCACGAGTTATTGTTTACTCATAACCGTGGCGTTCCGCGCGCATCAAGTGTGTTTCCACGATGGAATCCTATCCTCTGCGGCATGTGCGCGATATCACCCTTCCCACGCACGCGAAGCGCAGGCGTCTGTCTGCATTAGTTTCCATTCCGAGTCGCCAACATGCCATAACCGCGGTAGGCACCCCTTCAATCCGCCATAGTCCCCGCCGGTCCCCCTCGCGAGTAGTCCGCTTCACCCATCTTCACGCATTCTTCACTATAAGTTCAACTTATAAGAAGTTCTTAGCAGTCTCTCCATTCTGGCTCACCTTGCCCTCCGATCTTCACCAGAAAGGACTCCTGGCCTCCTGGCAAACCGGAGTCTCATAGGTTTCAAAGTTAAGAAGGTTGGTTAAAACCCGGTTTTTAAAGGCGAATCTAAACCATCGCTGTCACGCGTGGCGAGTCACTTCTCTCCGGCCAGAACCTGCGAGTCCAGTCAACTCGCCCGGCCATGGCGATCCCTCGTCCCCCGTCGCGTCCTCCGCTCCTCCTCCTTCCGCTCGCGCTGCTAATACTCTCATCGGCGCGCCTCCTCCTCCGCGCGCGCGCGCAGCAGTGCTCCGACGCCACACTTTGCGCCAACGACCTCTGCTGCAGCGCTGCGGGCTATTGCGGCTCCACCCCCGATTACTGCGGCGCTGGCTGCCAATCCGGGCCGTGCGGGGGAAACGCTTCCGCCGCTTCTCCCCTTTCCGGTGCCCCTCCCCCGATATCCGCAATCGGCCAGTGCGGAGCACTTTTCGGCAACAGCGTCTGCCCCAACAACCAATGCTGCACCGTTGCAGGCTTTTGCGGCTCCACCCCCCGTCACTGCGGCTTTGGCTGCCAATCCGGGCCGTGCGAGAGATACATCCCTCGCCCATACATGCCTCTTCCCCCCTCCGGTTCCGTTCCCCAGTGCGGAGCAGCGCACGGCAACCGCGTTTGCCCCGACGGGCTGTGCTGCAGCATGCACGGCTGGTGTGGCTCCACTCCGGAACATTGCGGCGCTGGCTGCCAATCGCAATGCTCCGCGACTCCCTCCAAAAAAGCGGTCCGCAATGCTCCAACGCATGAGATGTATGCTGCTAGTATTTCGATCGGTTTAGTTTTAGTAGCGATTTTATGTGCCTTCTAGAGTGCAGAAAGCTGGGGATGTGCGTTTGGTTGCACTGTATGCTTGGTTTGTACACCAGGCAGTATTGAAGTGCTCTGGATTTCTAGAAACAAGATACCGTACACGCTCAGCTCCTCAAAAGTGTCCTCCTGAAGATAACATGTATTGATAACTGTCTGAATGAGAACTACAGCGGAATGTGTTGCATTGACAGAATTGGGGTACATAACCTAACCCTAACTAGTTGTACCTCATATAGCCCAACCCACTACAAGCTATAATATTTGACACACCCCCATAGCCTAAGTGGGGAAGGCCAATCAACAACAAGCAACCTACGGTCACAAGACCAGTCAAAAGCAAGAGGAAGAAAACAAAGCTCAGGGTGGATCACAACGTCACCACCTAATCTGAGCACAAGCAAAGGGCCACAAGGCCAGTCCAAAAGTGTGCAAACAAATATATATAAGGTACAAGCAAGCAACAGACAAAGAGCACCTTACAGCAGTCAACTAGACCCAGTCTCAACGAGACCTAACTGCAGACAAAACCGGCGGTGGTCACAAGGCTGGAGGGCCTTGGTGAAGATGTCTGCAGTGTTGGCCTCGGAGGCCACAAACTCCAGACGAGCCTGCCCGCGTCTCTGCAACTCTCGAAGGAGGAAGTACCTGACGTCGATGTGCTTCACTCTGCTCACCAGTCGAGGCTCACGACACAGGAGAATCATCGCCTTGTTGTCAGCAAACAAGGTCGGTGCAGAGCTCGGCCGCTCACCAAGGTCAGTGAGCAAGAAGGTCAACCAGCGTAGCTCCTGTGCAGCGAGGGCTCCAGCGTAGATCTCGGCCTCTGCGATAGAAGTCGCAACAGAGGAGGACAGAGTAGACCTCCACGAAACAGCTCCAGAGCCCAGGCTGAAACAGTAACCGTATGTAGACCTCTGTGACTCAACGTCGTCGGCGTAGGAGGAGTCGCAGTGACCGGTGAGTACAACTGGCTGTGTCCCTCCAAGTACAAGCCCCATGTCTGATGTCGCGCCGAGGTACTTCGCCACCCTCTTAGCCGCCGCCCAGTGAACAGGACGGTGTCTCCCTGTCGCAACAAAGCGAGAAAGGATGCTAAGAGGGAAGGCGAGGTCCGGGCGAGTGCACGTCATCAGGTACATGAGGCAGCCCACCAACTCTGCGTAGGGACCACTGGACTCGAACGGCTCGTCAGGAAAAGGCCCAGTGAGTCTGTGGTCTACAGCAAGAGGGGTGGGAGGAGGAGAGGAGTGCTGAAGCCCGAACCGCTGAAGGACCTGCTGCACCATGTGTGACTGAGTCAGAGTGATGGTGCGAGCGGCTCTGTCCCTGGAGATCTGCAGGCCAAGGTAGCGGCGCAGTTCCCCAAGGTCAGTGCAGGTGTGTCTCTTCTGCAGTTCGGACTTCACCTCCGCCAGTGCAACTGTGTCGGCTGTGGCAAAAACCAGGTCGTCAACGTAGACAAGAAC